CGGAAACGTCAGGACTCAACCCGACCCCGCGGGGGTCTCCCCCAGATCCCTTGGGACGGAAGGGTTGTCCTGGAAAGGGGCTCTTGCCCTGGCCTACCCAGGGGCAGAGCCCACCCAGGGGCTCGCCCACCCAGGGCAGAGCCCACCAGGCAGGGCGCACCCACCATCAGGCCCTCCTGGACCCCGGGTCACGGCCCGTCGACCACGAGGCGCCGCCGGGTGAGCTGACCCTGTCCCGTCGGGTCTCTGGCAGCCAGGGGCGAGGCGGGGGTGGGGGGGGGGCCCAGGCCAGCTCACAGAGAGAGGGGACTGCCAAGGGCGGTCTCACCCGTGCCCATGCCTTTGGTTTTGGGGTTACACGGTGACTCTCACCTCCAGGCGGCCTCGGTGACACTGCGAGGGTGACCACACTGCAGACACTCAGGCTGGCTGGACACAGCAGGGAGGGCAGGCCTCCCGGGCCGGCGGCCGGCATGTCCGCCTCCTCCCCGAGCCAGGGGGCGCCTCCCCGAGCCAGGTCCACCAGGCAGAGGCTGGAGGGCGTGCTGTGGTACACGCGGCCGCCCCTGCCGCAGGCGGCACAGAGCACGGGCCCCGGCAGGCAGTACTCCCGCAGCTCTGGCACCAGACTCCCGGCCCCGTCGCGGCTGGCCTTGACCGCCAGTGTTCGGCCCCGGTGACCGAGCGCCACCAGGCAGTCACAGCAGGCGTCTTCCCCGTCCTCAGCCAGCGGCTCTGTCCTCAGGGCCCCAATGAACACGACAGGCTCCTCCAGGTGATGGAGGGTCCTGACGAGGGCCTTCGGGTCCCCTGGGGCCGAGCTGGAGGTGACCAGGGTCTTCAGGATGACGCAGCAGAGCTGGCCGTCTGGGAGGCCGCAGAGGATCACGGGCGACTCCAGGAGGGCGGCGTCAGTGCCAAAGAGGAGCCCGAACAGGGCCCCCTCCAGCGAGAAGCCCTGGGGACCCCGCTGGAGGCGGTGGGGGGCCCCGCAGCTTGGCGGTGACATGCAGCACAGCACGGGGAGGAAGTCGGGGGCTGCGGGCTTCCCCGGGCCGCTGGCTGGGGGTGTGGAGGTGGACAGCTCCACCTCGCCAGTCTTGCCCAGGGGCCTGGCCTGCCCCGGACCGGGACACTCGAACAGCTGCAGCCTCCACTGGGCGGTGCCCTGGGCCAGTGTGACGAGCACGCCGTCCAGCACGGTGAAAGCGCACAGCGTGGCGTCGGGGAGGACACAGGCGTCTGGGTCCACGGGGATGACGGGGGCCGGGGGCTCACTGTCCTGCTCATCCCTCTCGCTCTGGCTCACAGACCTCGGAGGAGACAGGGAAGCGTCACTCCCGATAGTCACACGCTGTCTCCTTGACAACCCGCTCCCAGCCTGGCTCTGGACCATTCACAGCCAGCGGTCAGCTGCGTGGGGGGGCGGGCGCTCAGCAGGGAGCGGCTGGCCCCACGGACGGCTCCACTGGCCTAGGGACACACATGCAGCAAGGTTTCCGGAAAATGGAGCTCGGATGGAAAAGCTTCATCAGCGTGGGCCTATCAGAACCTGAGGCCACTTTTACCGCCGGCACCAAACCTTCCTGGGTCTTAAGTCAGAGTGAGCAGGTGCCTGCAGGCTCTTTGCTGCCCTGGGCCCCGCTGGCAACATCAGTCTCAGCTAGGCAATGGCTCAAGGACCACGGAGACCCACCGGGGAGGTGTGTCAGGCCCGAGGGGACAGGACCCCCAAGGCCAAGGGGGTAAGTCCTGCTCCTGGTGGCAGACTCACCCACCTGCACCCGCTGTACGCCGGACTCTGCCAGCAGCAGCCTGCCAGGGGACGCAGGGGCTGGCGGCGGGCATGCCTACGACTTCCAGGCTGGGTCTGAACCCACCGTCCCCCTGCGCCTCCACGGAAAGGGCTGGTGAGGGCTCGTCCTGCCCCAGTGCACTGGCGGGCAGGTGGGTGGCACAGACCACAGGCCGGTGTTTCCCGGCAGGGCCACCCGACGACCCCTCCTCACCTGCCCGCTTGGTCCAAAGACAAGCAATAGACGCCGCTCCGGGCGCAGAGGACGAAGAGCACCCTGCGAAGGGCCAGGACCTCCAGGTGCCACACCTGCCCGGGAAACCTGTACACCGCCTGGGCGTGGGGGGCGGGGGGTGCAGGAGGCTTTAGTTGCGGACTAACTCCTCGAACGCGCCGGCCACTCCCTGCTCCCCGCGCGCCCCTCGGGGCCGGGACGCCGCCCCCACGCTCACGGTCAGTTGCCTCCCTTCCGAGTCGAAGACGTAGACCAGCTCCCTCCCGGTGGACAGGAGGATCTCCGCCCCGAGACACAGCACACGAGGCTTGCCCGCCGCCAGGCCCCCGACCGGGAAGCCGAAGCCCGCCAGGTAGTCCACGCGCGGCGCGAGGCCCGCCATGGTGTGGGCCCCTGCCCGGGGAGCGCCGGTGGCGCGAGAGACTTCCCTCCGCCTCCAGGCGCTGGTGCTGGGGTGGGCGGGGACGCCGTACGTCCGCTCACGTCACGACGCGGCCTCCGCCGTAAAGCGGCGTGAGGGGCGGGGCCGCGGCGGGAGGCGGGGCCACGCGTTGCGGCCGCCTGCCGGGTCCTGGAGGCTGGACTGGAGCCTCTGCCCGAGGGTTGGGGCGCAGCGTCCGTGCGACAAAGTTAGGGGACACGGAGCGGCTTGGCCAACACGCGAAACCCGACGGCCTGCCTTCGCCCACCTCGCCCGTTCTGCACGCGGCTCGAGGCGCCTGCTTGGGGGTGCCGGTCCGGTCCGCAGCATCTTCTTCCACGCCCGTTCAGGGCCGAGGGGCCCCCTCGGTCCGGCACCAAGTCCCGCTCCCTTCGTGCGTCTCCGAGCCGGGCAGGCCCGCGGGGCCCCCAGGGGAGCAGGCCGGACGCGCCTAAGGCTCTTCTCTCGAGTTTGGGGAGCGCCTGGATGCCGCGGGGTCCTGGGGCGGCGAGCAGTGCCAACTCTTGCCATCGCCACGACCAGCGGCTCTGGGCCTAGGGCTGGGTCCCTCTGGCCGGCTGAGCCCACTGTGGACGAAGCACCTCCTTTCCCCGTGCCTGGACGCAAGCTGTGCGTGGTGTGTGGGTTTGAGGGGACAACGGCTTTGGGGCGGTCGCCAGCCATCAGCCAGGGGCGGAGAGGGGCGTCGGGCGAGTCACCTCCGCCCCCACCGGACTGCTTCCTCTCCTGTCCTCCAGGGCTCCGGAGAGGTGCTGCCCGGAGAGGGGCCCGGAGCTTTCTTCCGAGGAGCAACTGGGAGACCCCGAGCACCCTGCAAGGCGCCTGCAGACGCCAGCCACACCCCTCTCCTTCAAGGAGCCAATGGGACAGTCTCCAAGAACCCCCGGGAGAGGCACGTGGGGGGCGTGGCCAGGCACGGTGAAGGGGCCCGGCTGCCAAGTGCTCCCTGGGCTTGGAAGCTAGGCTGCTGTGCCTGCCAAACACGAAGAACCGGTAGCCAAATTCTCACGCCGTGTCCAGGGGTGTGGGCACTGCACCCGGGGGGCGCCAGACAGAGGCGGCCCTCCCGTCCCTGCGTGCTGGGATGCACACAAGGTGTGGCGTTTGCAGTGTCTGCCCCTTCTGCTTCCTGGTCTGTGGGCGTGAAACGCGTCCGGGATGCTGGGACAGGGAGGGCCGCATGCTTTCTGGTGATGTCCCCCCGCCCCACTCCCCACCTCCACGGGCACGGGTGTCCCGAGCTGCCCTGCTCACCAAGCCTGTGAGCCACAGACCCGCCCTCCCAGGGGAGGGCTGCTCTCCCAAAATGGGGTGGGGGGTGGGGGAATGTCCCTCCAAACACTGCCGGGCGGGCGGGCGGGCAGCCCCTCCGCCCCACTCCCTGCTGCTCCAAGGCCAGCGGGCAAGCCTGCACGGGCAACACGAGGACCCACGGGCACCACCAGCCCACACAGACATCGCGGGGCCTTGAGTGCCCACCCTGGGGGTGAGAGGTGGGCCGAGGGCTGCGGCCAGGCGGACACCTGAGGGGGTGTGCAGGGCGCGCTCTCCTGGTCGCAGGCGGTCAGCGGTCTGCATGCCAACCTCGGAGGCGGGAGAACCTTCCCCAGGACAGACCGCGGCCCCACCCAGGAGGAAGCAGTGAGTGCAGGGACGAGGCTTCACGCTGTGCTGGGCGCGGCCCCCAGGGCACAGGGGCAAGGAGAGCAGGGCAGGACCCCGAGTCCTGTTTCTGAGCAGGACACTCCCGTTCGCTTGGCGTCTCGGGGGCGGTCCGGGAACCTGCTCACGTTGAGGACTCACATCACGAACCTGAGACGTGCCAGCACTGCCACCGCGCGTGGGGTGACAGGCGTGGGGCTGCCCACTGCGAGTCCCGGGTGGGGACACAGAAGCCCACCCGGCACGGGGACCTGGGCCCCAGCGGGGCGTGTGAGGCCGGCACCAAACCCAGTGTCGGGCCACCCAGCCAGCTCTGTCACCCGCGGCCCCTTCCCCTGCACCTCCGGGGAGCCCGGGCTTCGTCCTTCACCGGCCACTTGGCCCCACACGCCTGTCCCGGCGCGCAGAGGCCTGGAGCAGCCACGCGGGTGGGGGGCAGGCAGGACAGGCACCAGGAGCCCGGGTGGGGCAGCAGGGCCCCTTCCCCACAGTGGTCCGGACCTGACCCCGGGCCACAGGAACTGGCCCCGAGGCTCAGGGTGCAGGGAGGGGCCCCCGGGCCAGGACGACAGGGAAGGCCGGCAGCGCTTCAGGTGCTTTTATTAGACCCACGGCAGGGCCGCGTCCGGCAGCGCTGAGCCGCCGAGCCCACCACCGCGCGGCCCGAGCGGCGAGGAGCGGGCGGGCCGGGCAGGAGCAGGCTGGTCGGAGGCGGCTGGCGGTGCTCCCTGGCCAGGTGCACGCGCTGGGTGCGGGGCCCCTTCCCTGCCCGAGAGGAGGTGGCCGGGCTGCCTGGGCCGAGCCCTGGCTGTCTTTGGACGCTGGAAGGAAGTGCGTTACGGAACAAACAAAGAGCGACTCGAAGCCAGAGCGGAGAAGTCACAACGCTTTTTCTTTCGCTAGAAGACAGACGGAGACAAACGAGGTGTGTGGGCGCCGGGGCTGGGCAGCGAGGGGGCCGCGGTGGGCAGGGGCTGCGGTGGAGAGGGCGGGAGCTCGCCGAGGCGCCCCTGGGGGCCAGGTCCAAGGAGCGCAGCGGAGCGCAGGGTGGCCCGCAGCCTCGCGTCCGGGGGCCGGGCCGGACCTCAGGGTCCGGAGCTCTGGCCAATGCGCTTGCTAGGGGCACAACCAGAGTCCTCTGTAGGTGGCTGTGCTTTGGATGGGCCGCCCCGGCCAGACCAGGCCGACTGGCTCCTGTCACCGAGAGCAGACAGGTCTACACTGCGGGACCTGGAGGTGCCCAGCAGTGCTCTTGCGGCCACCAAGGCCGATGCCCGACCGCTCTTGTGCACAGCCTGAGGAGGAGGGGCCCACGGGCTGGCCCGGCCCCCAGCAGGCAGTGAGGGCCCTCGGCAGCCGGTCTGGACCGGCCTCTCCTGCGGAGCGGCTCAGAAGCCGGGCTCTTGTTAAGGCAAAGAGGCGTCAGCACGCCCACAGGCGCCCGGGGCAGGGCCCAGCCACAGAGGACATGTGGGGACCCCACAGCGCACGGCCTCTGTCCTGGGATGGCCGGACTCACCATCGGCACAGCAGTGACCTTCCAACCCCCGCCCCCGTGACCTCACCACAGGGCCCTCAGTGGCCATGCCACTGTGCAGAGGCCGGGGAGGGCAGGACTGTGCGGGGGGGCAAAGGGCCCAGAGCTTCCAGTCCCAGACAACCCAGCTCACCCCGTGCAACCCGGCCAGCAGCCTCCGCCCGGCTGGAGCCACCGCTCTGCCCCGGGCCAGGAGCTCGTTTCTGTGGCCCCCGCGGCCACGAGGTCAGGCAGAAGAGTCTCAGGCACTGAGGTTCACTCCCAAGGAGACCTGACTGAGGGCCCCACCCTCCCTCCCACCCTGCACACGCCCACAGGGGTGCACTGGAGGGAAGAAGTGGAACTAGTCTCTCTCACTCCCCTTTGATGCAGCTTTTATCTCAGAAAAAAATAAATAGAAGTCTCCGGGGCGGGGATCACTGATAACTGTTGTTACAACCGGCGCCGACTCCACGGTCCCACCTGGACGTCGGCTGAGAGCAGGACAGGGGTGGGTGGCGAGGAAACTGCAGACCAAGCAGACGGAGGCCGGCTGGCCCGTGGCCACTCGCGCAGCCACCGGACGCTGGCTACCGAAAGGGGAGAAGTTGCCCCTGCAGGCAGGCTCTGCCCCAGGGCAGCAGGGCACAGAGGCCAGCGAGAGCCCCGCCCACAGCCAGGGGAGGGCAAGAACTAACGGCATCCAGAGGAGGGGGGGCCGGTGGCCACAGCAAGCACCCCGCCCTTCTCCGCAGGCGGACACATCGAGGCGCCCGTGGGGCTGCCCTGCTCCTCCACGAGGAGCCTGGGTTCGGCCGGAGAGCCCCGGCCCGACTCCGTTCTTCAGGGAAGCCTGGTGCCGAGGCTTCGGGAGCCAGAGGCCCCAGGGCAGGCCCCCTGCCCTGCCCTCCAGGGCTGCCCACCGTGGGGCACGGCTCCACGACCCTGCGTCAGAGAGGGCTGGGGTGGCACTAGGTCCTGGGGAGGCTGCACATCTCGCAGTGGCCGGTGCCCGGCTGGTTCATGAAGGTGCAGTGCTCACAGGCCCACATGGCGGCCGCGGTGGCGTGCGAGGAGCCCCCGACGGCTCCGTACTCCTGGAGGCCCGGAAGCTGCACCCCGACGGTGCCTGCGGGGTGGGGGAGAGAAGCAGAGCTCAGTGATTCTGCACGGAGAAGACGTTTGCCCGTCTGGACCTACCTCCCTGCCTAGGGAACCGCGAAAGCACCTGTCCCAGGCCAACGAGGCCCAGGGACCCCCGCTGCGGGCACCCTGGTCGCACCTAGAGCCCCACTGAACGCAGCTGCTGTCGGCCGCCCTGCGACAGAGGCCCCTGCCCACACCGCCCGCCCCCCGGGGCGTTCCCACTCCTGAGCCACGTGAGTGGAGCTGCACCAGCACTCTTGCACAGGTCCCCGGTGAACACCCAGGTGGGCCGAGCTCACTCTCACAGCCGTGCACGGACTCACCGGGCCGTGCCACGGCCTCCCAAACACTACTGCGGCACCTCTTTCCATCCGCACCCCCCGCACGGCCACCTGTGCTGCCGGCCCGACTGTCTCTGCCCGTGTGCACCGTCCGAGTCCCGCCCCGCCCTCTCCCACGCTGCTCCTTCCCCGGCCCCCACCGCGCAGCACTCTCTACCGCCCCGCGCCACGACGCCGGTCGGCGGGGGGCACACACGTGAGGTGGTGCTCCCAGAGGTTACGAGGGAGCTGACAACCCCCCCCCCCCCCGTGACATCGCAGCCAGCGTCACCGGGGAGGACAACACCCCCCGGCGCGACGCCGGTGCAGGCAGACCTGCTGCGGGTCGGGGGCACGCCTGGCACGGACACGCGTCTCGGGTGTCTCCTCCCGGCCTAGGCCTGGCCACCCCCTCGTCTCCGACTGACCGCCGGGGAGCGCGAGGGTTCGGTTCTGATCGAGCCCCACGGAGGGGTCTTCCGTGGTCGGCGTTTCCCTCCGTCCGACCCCAGGGCCCGAAGAGGCTCGAGGAGCCTGCCGCTCCGGCGTCCACCGAGGGGCCGCGGCCCGTCTCCAGCAGGCCTCCGCACCGCGTGCCCGTGGGGACCAGGCCGTTTTCCGCACCCAGGCCCCAGCGGGCTCTCCCCTCGCTGTCCCGCAGGCCTCCGCGCCCGCCGCCCACCGCTCACCGCCCGTTTACTCAGAGGCAGCTCGGAAAGGGGGGGGGGTGCCCTGCCTCCCACCCGCTGCGCCCCTGCCTCCCAGCGCCGTCTCCTAACTCTCCTGCCCCACGGGCTCGTCCTGTGGGGCCCGGGGCCGCGCTCGTCCGTTCCAGGGAAACCGACTTCCTAAGACACACCGAGCCCTTCCACCTGCACGTCCTTCCGCCTGCCTGCACTCAGTTCCTCGGGCCGAGGGCGGCTCTCAGAGACACCCCCCCCCCCGTCCCGGGATTTCATGCGCACCGCGAGGCAGGCTCCGCGGCAGCACGGCTATGACCCCCCTGGGGCCACCGCTGCGGGCTGGGGTCTCCGCGGGTGGCAGACACGCCCAGGGCTCAGGCAGATCCCCTCAGACCTGGCTTTCCTGACGCCCCCCGGGGCCAGCGCGTCTGCAGACGGCCCCCCGCCCGACCTGCCCTCCCTGCGGGGCCCCGGGACCGCCCCCTGCGCCTTCCCTCCGCGCGTGGCGCAGCCGGGACAGCCCGCCCCGTGGGCGTGAGAGAGACCAGGTGCCGAGCGCAACGGCCAGCACACCACTGTCCACCGAGGACCGGAAGCCGCGGGGCTCTGCTGAGGGGACCAGCCCGCCCCCGCCTCTGCACCTGGGCGGCACCTCAGAGCGCGAGGGCGGGGGCACGTGCACGTGAGCTGGCCACGCCCCCGCTGCGCAAGAAAGCGACGGAGCACGCCGCCGCGCACGCGGGCTCGAGGGCTCGCAGGGCCGCAGGGAGTTCCGGGGCCGGACAGCGTGTGTCTCCCTGGCTGCGGCGGCGCAGCCCCACGGCGGTCCTCGGCCGGCTGCGGCTGCAGACCCGGTCCGCCAGCCTGAGAGCCGGGCACGCACAGTTCTCCGGACGCACCCCCAAGGCCTCTGGGTGGGGGGCCCGCCAGCACCTCCCACACCCCCGGGCGGAGGCTGCGCCTGCCCCCGGGGGCGGACCGGGCTCCTGCTGGCGGCGGGGTCCCGCAGCTCCTCGGGCAGAGACCCCGTGTTCGCTGGGCCTCGGCTCCCTTGTCCACCACGGGAGCGCGAGGACCGGCGGGACAGAGCACAGCCCGAGGAAACCAAAGGTTCCGCGCCCCCGGCACCTGCGTGGCCGGCAGGGTTCTGTCTCTGGGGCCGCGGCTCTCCCGTTGCCCCGAAGGTGCGTAGAGGTGCGCGTGCGCCGCAGTGAGCCACACCCCGCGGAGCAGCGTCCCTGAGACCCGAGGCCCTCCCGGCACCTGGGTCGCCGTAGAGAGAGCCCAGGGGCCCTGGCAGAGCCCCTCTGCGCCCGCCGAGCGCCCCCAGCGGCTGTCAGAGAGCGCCTGGGGTCAGGCTTCTGGGATACAGGGAGCAGCCTGGGGGCTCGGCCCCGGGCAGTGGGCGCGTGAGGGCGCGCGCGGGAGACCGAGACAGGGAGCCCACTTACTGCAGAGCTGCTCGATGGTGGCCCACTGCTCGGACTTCTTCCACGTCTGCGCCAGCTCCTCGTCCCTGGTCCGCACGGCCTCCAGCAGGAGGCTGATGCTGTCCTGCAAGAAGCCGGCAGAGGGGTCCCCACGCGCTCCGGCTGTGGCGCAGGGGCCCCTGCTCGCAGGTCTCCTCCTCCCCGAAACCTCGACACACTGCAGAGGGCACGCAGAAGCCTCACAGGCCGCCACCGACGCGACAAATGCGCCCCCTTCCGTCCACACGGACAAGGGCTAGACTCTGAACTCCCCCAAAACGGCCCACGCCACTGCTGTGCCAGCTGGCACGGCCCAGACCAGAGGATCCCGGCCTCCGGGTTCCTGAGGATGGACAGGAGCCTTGGTCCTGAGTCCATCTCTGCTCACACCCCCTCGGCTCCTGCACCTGCACCTGCACCTGCGCAGTCACACCTGCAAACACGCACTCCAGCCCGGGCCTCCCGGGTCCCGAGGCGGAGAACCGGGACCGTGTGCACGAGAGGCCCGTAGCCTTCAGGAGCTGGGACAGGAGCCGCGGAGAGCGATGCTGGGCGGTGACCACAAGCAGCGCCTGCCACCCCGTGAGAGGCCCTGATGGGGCCCCGGCCTGCACGGCGCAGAGAGCGGCTGCCACCTGCACAGGCCCCCCCTCGCCCCCCCAGAGTGTCTGACGGAAGCCAGTTGCGATGCCGTGCACTCGGGGCGGGGTGGGGCGCGGCGCTGGCCGGCTGCCTGGGCGCAGGAGCGGGGAGCGGATCCGGGAGGAAGGAGACGGGGCAGAAGCAGGGGCTCTGGTCCTGGGCGGCCGGGACAGGAGTTTTCCGTGGCGTCTCTCCAGCTCCGTGCCGGGGGACACAGAGCTGACCATGGCTGCGTCCCACAGGTCAGAGCCGGAGGGCGATGCTCAGACGCTGTCTCAGCACAAACACTCAGCGTGCACACGCCCCCCCTTCCAGCCAGCAAGCCCCTTGCGCAGGGTCACCGCCACAGGACGTGTGGGGCCTGCGACCGCGGCTCTGGGCCAGGAGCAGAGGCAGCGCCGTGCAGCCGCACCCCCGGGACCGCCGGCGCCCGGCGCCCAGGCCGTACCTGCAGAGGCATGACTTCGTTGGTGACCAGGAAGAGCAGCAGGTGGAAGTCGGCTACGGTGTCCAGGAACATGGAGGAGGTATTCTGCGACAGGTAGGTGGCCAGGCTGTGGAAGTCCTGGGGGGGGGGGCGCGGGGGGAAGCAGACGCAGGCTCCGTGGCAGCTCCCAGAGCACAGCCCTTCTCCCCAGACCCAGCTGCACACGCTCCGGGGGACAGGCGCGCCGCTCCCTCCTCCGATGCCCGCCCACAGGGACCCCGGACAGAGCAGTGGCCCCTCGGTGTGTCGGCAACCCTGGCCGTGAGCCGCTCGCACACCGGGGCCCACCCTCTCATTCAGTGGCGAGGGCCAGGAGACCCACGCGCCGTCTCTCCCGCCGAGCTGCACGGCCCGGGGCAGCCGACTCCGGGCAGGGGAGAGAGAGAGAGAGAGAGGGGGAGAGAGAGAGAGAGAGAGAGAGAGAGAGAGAGAGAGTGTGTGTGTGTGTGTGTGTGTGGCTTGTGTAACACAGACTCAGCCCTCAGCCAGACCAAACACAGGAGGCCCGCTGCGCCACCTGAGCAAGTGGCTTGGGCCCCTGCAAGCACCGAGTCCCCAGGCAGACGGGCAGGGCGGAGACCACAGTGTCAGGGAGGTGCTGTCAACAGCCACCGCGTCGGGAGAAAACCCCCTGGAGACCCCCTCTGGCCGAGCCCGGTTCCGCACGGGTGGCCGGTGGGGCCGCCCCTGACACACCGCGAGACAGCTCCACAAGAGAGATGACGCTACCCACAAGCGAGCAAGGAAATGTCATAAGGAGACATGAAGTGACAAGTTGTTGTTTTTTTTGGGGGGGGAGGGGTCAACTAAAAATGGTCCTCTTGCCCTGGCTGGTGTGGCTCAGGGGACTGAGCACGGGCCTGCGAACCAAAGGGTCACCGGTTCGATTCCCAGTCAGGGCACATGTCTAGGTTGCAAGCCTACCTAGGTGAGAGGCAACCACACATGGATATTTCCCTCCCTTTCTTTCTCCCTCTCTTCCCCTCCATCTAAAAACGAATAAAATCTTACAGGAAAAAAAAAAAGGGATGGTGCTCTTAGGAGACCCACAGCTCGAGGGCTGGTGGGATTTGCCCTGGTGGCTAACGTCACCCGGGTGGGACAGGGGCTCCTGGCGGCCGACGGAGTCGAAGGCGAGGCCCACTGGACGCGCACAGGACTGAGAGCAGGGCCGGGGGACAGCAGCGCCGGCACCGGGCGAGCAGGCAGGGGCCACCTGGCATTGCGCCCCCGCGGACGGAGAGCTCACCTGTGTCTCACCCAGCACGTCCCGGTTCTCGATGGGGAACGGGTTTTGCGAAGTAGAAAACGTGTGAACGGGGTCCTTGGGGAAAGTCGTCGTGATCTGGTGAGCAGAGAGCCAGACCCGGGTGAGCCAGCTGTGCAGAGAGCAAGGGTGGGCCCCCTCACGGCGCCGGCAAGCCGGGTCGCAGCAGCCGCACCCCGAGGATGAGGACGCATTGGCCACGGCCCCCCCCGAAACACAGACTCTGACAGCTCCCAGGCTCATGCCCCACGTGGGCGGTTTCTGTCCGCCAGCCTCCGCGACAGACCAGCGCTGGGGAGGCCCTACGGTGTCGGCCCGCGGGGTGGGGGGTGGCTTCCGGGGGACAACCCGCCGTGCCCCCCCCCCGCCCAGCTGCCCACGTGGCCCTGGGTGAGCCTGAGGGTGGGTGAGCCACAGGCCCGGCCCCGAGGGGTGAGGCGGCGTCTCAGGAGCTGCCTGTTCCCACCCCTGGGTCCGCAGGCGCGTGGGGACCAGCCCGACGGGCTCAGGGCCCGGCGTCCCCAGCCAGCTTTCCGAGGCCCTCGGGGCCCCCAGGCCCTGCTCCCCAGGGTCAGGGCGGGGGGGGAAGCAAGGCCTCCGGGGTGCGGGCACAGCTCCCCTCGCCCCCCACGAGCCACCTGGAGTCAAGAGCCTGGGTCCGGAGCATGCCTCAGCCCGCGTGTGGCTCAGACGGGCTGTGGCGCCAACGGAGGGCGAGTGAGACCTGGAGTGTGACCCCAGCAGCCGCGTGGCCCGTGCTCAGTGTGCCAGGAGCAACGTGGTTTCTCCCTCCTCCTGGCAGAAGCCCGCCCACCTCCCCGCTCCCCCCACCTCCCTGCCAGGGGCACCGAGACCACCATGTGGCCCCTCCGGGCGGCCGCACGGCATGAGGGGCGGCTCTCCTGCGTCGTCCGGGGGCTGTTTCTCAGCAGTGACGATGCCGCTGCGCCATGCTCCCCACCAGCAAGGCAAGGGCAGGGACTGGCTGTGATCTCGCCTCACTGACCACACCGTGTGGTCTTGTGGCAAAGGGCACGGGCCCAGCCACGGTGCCCAGGCCTCCTTGCTCACCTGGCCAGGTGAAGACGCCCCCGGGCACCTGCACCCCGAGGCCGCACTGAGGAGGAAACACTCAGAGCTGTGCAGCCCTCAGACGGGCTGCACGCACGGGGGGCAGTCTCAGCTGCTGTCACGGCGCGTGAGACGGTGGCAGGGTGTCCGTGCTGCCGAAACAAAGCCCGTGGAGGGCTCAGCCCCACCCCCGCAGGGAGGCCGGAGCAGGGCCTGTCTGACCCGACGCCCCCGGCGGGCTCAGCGCCAGTCCGGGACTCGCGGGGAAGGGCGCAGGGCATCAAGCACCTCCTCCTGTGCTTAAGCCATCTCCCCCCAGCTCAGGGACGACCAGCTGACACCGGGCACCCCCAGAAAACCCCCACAGGATCCGGGGGACGCCTCTCCCCCCTCCCCCGAGAACAGCTGCCTGGCCGCAAGGCTGAAGGACCGCAGACAGCCCCGGCTCGGCTGTGGGCCTGGGGCCGGGCGGGGAGCTGCGCACAGCTGCCAGCCTGCTATTGGGGGCCGCAAAGCCCCTTCCACAGGCACGGACAGCGGGGGTGCCCCAGGACCCAGCCCCCTCGCCGGCCCCTGCAACCAAGTCGAGGCACCAAGGCGAGGACCTAGCCCCTTCTCGGGGGGGGGGGACGGGAAGCTGCTGGGGGAGAAGAGCTCGGACGGCCGGCTTCAGATCACGCCAACACCCCGAGCGTCCATCAACCTGCCCGCCTCCTAACCACGCCCCAGGCCGTCCAGAACGCAGACGCCCTTGCGGCCTGGGCAGTCAGTACGTGCTCAGGGGCTGTCAACCGGACGCAGCACCGCCGGCAGGCTCGGCTCCTGGGGACCCACTGCACAGCCTGCAGCGCGGGCCACCCCGGGCCCAGCGCGGCCCGAACGGGTCCTGGCAGGCAGCCGCAGGGCGCGCTGGCTCTCGTCCTGCAGCGGTCGGCGCCTGGTCCGGGGCCACGTCTCTGTGCCCAGAGCCGGCGCGCAGACAGGAGCGGAGGCCCCGAAGACACACGGCAGCCAGGGGCCCGCCCGGCTCCGCGAGTCCCCCAGGGAGCCACGTGCCGCCGACTCGAGGGCAGAGCATGGCCAAGCCCCTCGGGGACCAGTGCAGGCCGAGGGCCCCCCAGGAGCCCGGCCGTGGCAGCAGCTGTGACCAGGGCCGTGCCCGCAATGCCACGCGTGACTGGTGGGTGGTCCTGCGTTGTACTTGAGGTTAGAGAAGCTAACCCGGAAGTTGATTTTACGGGGGGCGGAACACAACAACCGGACACTAACAGAAAAAGCCCCTAAAATGGGGAGCTTCTCAGGGACGCCAGGAGCGTGACAACCACCCCAGCCCCGGACGCCGGTGCTGCGCAGGCAGGGGCTGCACGGCCCCCACCCGCCCCTCGGGGAGCCCGGCGGGCGCGCGCACTCACGTCGATGATCAGATACTCCACGGGCAGCGGGCGGGCCAGCTGGGTGATCTCGTTGCCGAACTTGTCTATGTCCTGAAACGGGAAACGGGGGCAGCGTGAGCGGGCCCCACTGACCAGCGGGGGCTCCCTCCCCGTCTCCCCTGGACACATCCCCGCAGTGCTCTCCCGGGGCCGGGGGGCGAGGTGGGGGGGCACATGAGAAGAAGGGAAAACGTGCCTTTTCTGATGCCCCCCCCTTTCTTTGTGACGGCGCGCCCCTGGGCCCCCCGGGGCCCCCCCGCCCGGGCCGCACCCCACCTCCACGAGCTCTCGGTCCCAGGTCCAAATGCTAGTTCTCAGTGGCCGGACACCTCTGAAACCCTGACTCACAGAAACTCGGTGCTCACACACCACTGAAGCCAGCGCGTGCACACGCGCACGCACACACACACACGCACGCACACGCTGCGCCCACCACCGATCCGTCAAAGCCCAAACTTGTTTTGCTTTGTCAGACGCACGGAACATAAAGTTTAATTATGGGGAAAACGGCCAGCATATGGTCATCCATCACAAAGTGACAATTAGACCTGATTTATGTCAAACACGCCGTGTTCAGACGGAGCTCCAGAGAAAGTCACGAGGACCGATGCTTTTCATTAAAGGTTCTGCAGGAAGGGCCAAGTTTTCTATCTAAATCATCACTTAACACCCCATAAATCACTCACGGGGTCGCGTATAAATCACCCGTCCGTGGTTTCCAATCACGGGGTCCTCTATAAAAGTCTGCGTCCGTTACAGCTCTCAGACCCGAATGGACGCCAAGCGGGGGGGTGGCACACAGCACCCCCACACAGCCGCGCCTCCGCACGCAGGGCCCCTCCGGAGGCCGCACGCCTCAGTCTGCCCACACCTCCCTCCCCTCCCCGCTCACACCCGACAGCGCCGCCACGGGAACACATCTGCCCACGCTCCCAGAGAGGGGCCCAGCCACCTCACCAGCAGTCCCCGCAGGCGTGCCCGCCCCCCAGGGACACCGCCCTGGACACCACGCCCGGCCGTCTGCCTGCTTCCTGGGCAGCTGCCGGCCCCCGCCGGTCAGGGGAGGACTCGTCCCCCTCGCCCCCTCCAGGCAGCAGTCTGGCTGGGCCCACCCCCACAGCCCGCCCCCCGCTCCGCAGAGCACCCCAGGATGGGAGCCCGCGGAGCGGGTGCTGGGCCCCGCAGCGGCAGTGTCTCCGCGGAGGAGACTTCGTGGGAGGCAGGAACCAGACCCAATGGAACCACCACTTCCAAAACCATGAGCCTGCCCCTACGAGAGAACCCGCAACGACCCGCATGGGACGGGCCCGTCTGGACGCCGTCTCAGGGCTGATGCGGCTCCAGCCCGCAGGCCCGCCTCCCAGCACCTGCTCCCGGTGCCCCTGCCTCCGGGAGGGTCCTCGTCAGACGCCCCCTCGGGCTGTGTCCAGCCAGCTGCTCGCTCTCCCGTCTGACGACCCAACCGCACCTCTCTGCTCCCCAGGAAGGTCAAGGTGCTGCCCTCCCCTGCCGTGCCCTCCCCTCCCTGGGGGAGAAAACAGGGCCGCCTGCCTCCCCCGCCCCGGCCTGCCCTCCGAGGGTCCCGCCAGCCGGTCCGAGCCCCACCCGCCCGCCTGCAAGGCAGCCACCGTCCTCGGGTGTCGGCCAGCGTCAGGTGCGAGGCGCTGGGAGGGAGGCGTCTCCATCCTCGGGGGGCAGCTCCCGAGACGTCAGCAGTTCTGAGCCCACCGGGAGCGAGGCACCGGGGGGCCAGGAGCAGAGGTTCCCACGGCCTCACGCCCAGACGGTGTCCCCCCACGAACAGAGCGTCTGCAGCTCTCCCGCGAGCGGAGGCTCAGAGCGGACGGGCCCGTGTCTGGGCCGCCCGCTGACGCCGCGGCGCCCTCGGGACGGCCTGGCGACTAGCCACACACCCACGTCCAGGACCCGCCGCGCCTCGACCTGGGACGGGAGGCCTCTGCCCTCAGGCTGACCGGCGAGGGGCCCACGTGCCCAGAAGGCACCGCACCAGCCCAGGCCCGGCTGACTGGCGTCCACACCGTCCTCCGTCCGCTCGAAGCCTGCGCTCCGCTGGGCTGTTACCTTATAAAACACATCGGGCACGTACTGCTCGCTGCTGGACTCCTTGGCGTAGCCGAGCTCGGGGGCGTCCTTGCAGGGCAGCAGGCACTCGTCCCGGACCAGCGCCATGCACTGGTTGGACACCTGGTAGCCCTCGAAGTGCACCTGGTTGTCGGGGCCACCTGCCGGGGGGGCGGGGGGAGGGAGAGACCGCCGTGAGAGACCGCGGGGACGCTCCGGCACGCTGGACGGCAGCGCCGCGAGGGGCCTGAGCAGGACGAGGCCGGTGACCATTCTCCAGCCCCCGCTGGGCGCCGCTCGACACCAGGGACGCAGGAGCCCGGTGCGCAGTGCCCGAGGGAGCGGGTGGGCGCTCCCGCAGGCAGACAGTGGGGCCGGGGCGCCCCCAGTGAGGATGGCGGCAGCGCTCCTGTCCACCGGGGGGAGGCCTGCGTGGCCGCCACGCTCAGGAGCTGTGGGTGCCGCCCGGGGCAGTGCCTTCACCGCACACCCAGTGCCCCCCAGGCCCCTCTCGGTACACACTCGTGACGCCCCCGGGGGCCTGGACGCGAGGACAAGGCAGAGAGTCACTGCGTGGGCAGCTCATGGGCAGAGACGGGTCCCCAGGCGCAGGCGCTCCCGGCCGGTGCCCACTGCCGCAGACGGGCACTGCCAGGGCCCGGCCTGCTCGGGCAGCGCCGGCACCCGCGGCTCTTACGGCTTCAGAGAGCTTGTCTGCCACCACCTCGGTCTCAGTTTCTTCGACAGGAGCAGAGCGAGTCGGGGGTGAGGGAGCCCCAGGCCTGTGCGTCTGGCTCTCGAGCGGTTCGGAGGCGAAAACTGCACAGACCACTTGTGGTTCCCAGACGCTCTAGGAAGGGGCCCGGCAGCGGGACCACAGGGTCCCACGTGAGGAGCCAGCTACAACCCACACAACGAGCCTGTGGCCGGTCCAGTCAGCCCCCACGGAAACAGGCCCCAAAGGGCCGGGCCGCCCGGGGGGGCAGGGAGCACTCTGGGGGTCCGGGGGGCGGCCGGGGCCAATGGCTGGGGTCGAAGCCGAGGCCGCCTGGCCGGGTCAGGGGGGCCCGCACCCCGAACAGCTGCCCACGGCCCACGGCCCCGTCCGGAGGAGGACACCCACACGGCCGCCCCAGCCGCCCCCCGGCAGAGTCTCCGAAGGACGCCACCGTGCGGCCCTGGCCCGGCAGCGGCCCGAGCAGGTCGAGCGGGGACGCGCTGCCCCGCTCCATCTCCTCGCCACCCCAGCCCCCCATGCTCCCGGCAGCCACTGCAAAGCTTCCCGTGTCAGAGCCGTGTGCGTGGGCAGGCACAGCAGCTGCGCCGCCATCTTCCGCAGGGGGAGGCGAGTCACGCAACACTCCAAAAAGACGGGGTCCGGCCTCACGGGCGGGAGGACCCACAGACGCACCCGGAACGCCAGCCGCCGCGGAGGGCGAGCGGCACAGAGACCCCGTTCCCCCGTCTCCGCTCCCTTCCGGGCGCCCGGTCTCGCCTGCCCCGAGGGGTCCCCCCGGCCACAGCCCTGCCCCGGACGTCCTCTCGGGAGGGCTCTGAGCTGAGAGACCGGCTTCCTTGAATCCTGACTGAAACTCCCGCCCACCCCGAGACACTGGACCTGACCGCACCCGGCACGGAGCCCGGGCTCAGGCGGCTCCCGCCCACGCGGGAGGGGCACCACCGCTGCCCCCGAGCTCAGCAGCCCCTTCGTGTCCGAAGGCGCCCGACCTGGGGGGCGGGGGGGGGGGGGCAGGCGCTTTTTCCCGGTCCCCTGGCACTGGCATGGTGCCCCCGGGGCCTAGCTACTCGTCTGCCCTGTCGGCAAACTGGTGCTTCACCCTGCAGGGCGTGTGTCGTCAGGGGGAGCGGTGCGACTTTCTGCGGAACCCGGGGAGGGCTGGCCACCAGGCGCGACCCCAGCGGTCAGCGCCCTCCGGGGAGACGCCAGGCCTGCACAGGACCGCGGGGGCGTTCCCACCGTGAAAACCGACCGGGCTACGTTTGCGTGGGTCAGCGCCCCAGGTTTCAACCCCCCCCCCCCACTTGTAAAGCACTCGGTCCTGCGGCCGGCCCGCCCAGGGCTGCCGCGCAAGCACGTGAGCAGGACTGGAGTCCCTGCTCTGCAGACCCATCTCCCACCGCCACACGTGCACTCGGCCACAACACGCCATGCACACGCCATCGGCCGGCAGCAGAGCCAGCACACCCCCCGGGCCCCGCGGAGCCGCCGCCGCGGGGCCACTGGCCAGGGCAGAGGCGGCCCCAGGTGCGGACCGGACCAGCGGGCCCGACGCGCTCAGGACGCGAACCGCACACGGAAGAGCCGCCGCCGCCGCCGCCCGCGGGCCCGCTCCCCGGGTCGACCGCAGCCGCGCCAGAGACGGGCGGCAGCCGCGTGAGGGGCGGGGCGCGCGAGCTGCCGGAACCCGCGCAACCCGACGCCCGGCTGCACCTGTGGCCACCGCGGTGACGAACTTGGACCCGAAGTGGCCGTCCGGGGAGAGCCGGCAGACGTTGGGGTGCTTGTTCTGGAAGTCGCCCGCGGTGATGCACTCCTCCGCGCTCAGGAAGTAGGTGTCCTGGGGGGGAGAGTCACGGGGGAAGAGTCGCGGGCTTCCTTGGAGGGCGCGCGGGGCGTGCCGGACGCGACCACAAGACGCCCGAGACCCGGTGGGACCAAGGCTGAGGCTCCCGGCCACTGAGGCCCCGACACAAGCCTCACGGAGGACACCTGGCTTGGGGTGGTGGGCACACAATGTGACGTGCAGACGGCGGGGCCCCGGCTGGCGTGGCTCAGGGGACTGAGCGCCAGCCTGCGAACCAAAGAGTCGCCGGTTTGATCCCCAGTCAGGGCACACGCCTGGGTTGCAGGCCAGGTCCCCAGTGGGGGGCGCGGGAGAGACAACCACACATGGATGTTTCTTTCCCTCCCTCCCTTCCTCTAAAAATAAATAAATGCAACCTGAAAAAAAAAACTGTATCCCTGAAACCCATACAATTTTACTAACAGCACCACCCCGATAAATCCACTACAAAATAAACGTGGGTGACTAGTAAGGCAGGAAGCACCACGCCAGCCACCCCAGAGCTGACGCCCGAAAGCCCGGTCTGCACAGGTCCGGGGGCTGTGCTCCGCAGAGTGGGACTCCACAGGCCCCGCCCGAGTCACCGAGAACACGGGACAGGCGCTGGACACAGTCCCCTCCTAGAGCGGGCTGCAGGTGCGCGGGCCCGCCGCCCCTCACCTTGTTGCGGCTGTACCGGACCGTCCCCTTGCGCGTGTCCTCCGAGACCAGGTCTGTGAATATCCAGCCCACCTGCACGGCAGAGGGAAACCCCTCCTGAGTCCCCCCCTGGGGCAGGCGGTGCCTCCCGGCCTCTGCCCGGAGAGCCGCGCTGCTGGTGCTGCCGGGTCGGCGAGGAGGGCAGCCGTGCAGCACTCACGGACGTGTCAGCCGAGCCCACGCCCAGCGCTGTGCCGGGGCCGGGGCCCTGCGGCCAAGAGCACGAGCGGAGTGTCCGTGACGACGGCCCGCACTGCCGAGAGGAGGCACAGGCAGGCACCGCAGTGCAGGCGCCGGGGGAGCACAGGCAGAGGGAGAAGCCAGAGGGCACAGGGTGCGGAACGCCCGACACCAGGGCACCCTCAGGCCGGCCCCCCGGCTGGGGGCAGGCCGGACCCCCCAGCGGGTCTTGCTGCAGAGCACGGCGGTCTGTGTGCCCTGCGGCCCCTGGCCCCACCCCCGTGCCCACGAGCCGCCCGGCCTCCCTGAAGCAGAGGGAGCCACACACTGACGTTCCTCGCCCTCTCTCCTTCCCTTCCCCTCTCCGAATAAAAAGGAGTAAATAAAACCTTTAAGGAAAAATAGTGAAACACACAGAAGCTCCTGGCAACCGACCACGCGGACGAGGCTCCAGAGCTGCCGCCCGGCCCCCGGCCACGTGCCGCTCGCTGGGCACTCCGTCCGGGGCGGGGGGCAGCCCGGCCGCCACCGCGCCCACCCGGACGTCCCCACCAGAGCCCGGGCCCCGCCGAGGGCCGCACCTTCCTCAGGCCGAGTTTGGCAGCGATCTCGTCCACCACCTCGGCTTTCGGGTCCTCGAGCAGCTCCAGACTGTTCTGTGTCCCGATCTGCTGGGTGTAAAGGGGGAGACACTTGGGGGTGGGCCCAGGTGAGTGCACAGCCCCCGCCACCACTGCCGGTCCGGCCCCAGCACCCCTCGGGGCCCCCCAGCAGAACCCCGAGCTGCTCAGGCCCAGTGCTCTCGAGTGGCGCCAGGCTCCTGGCCCAGATGCAGGGCACGGAGACACGACGTCACGGCCCCACAGCGGGGCGGCGGCCAGGGACGGGGAAGGCTCCCTGTGGGGTTCCTGAAGCGAGGCCCCCCGACGGGGCAGAGGGGTGCCCAGGCAGGCCCTCAGGGCCAGCTGGCCCACAGGCAGCCTCACGGCCGCGGGCCCAGGGCCAGCAGAGGACGACGCTCGCTGCAGCGCCAGCCCCGGTCGCCCGGAGGAGCGCGGAGCCCGCAGGCCCGCCCTGCCCCCTCGCCGGGTCTGCCCACGTCGGTCGGTCTCGTCTGACAAACCAGGCGGGGCCGCTCCTGCTGGTGTCGCCCGCAGCACAGAGGCCAGCAGACAGACGCGGCTGGGACCGGGGGTGGGGGGGGCACCCCCCTGAGGGATGGTGCCAGGAGAGGCCGGCGCCGGCGGCAGACGCACCTGGGGGGGCTCGTAGATGGCGGCCACCTCGGCCCGGATGCCCAGGGGGATGTCCTTGTGCTCCGTGTAGCGGCCGTACAGGTACCCGAAGTGCTGGCTGCCCGTCTTCCTCCAGAAGTCCAGGAAGCGGTCGGCCACCGTGTGGTTCTCGAACATGATGTTGTCCACGTGCCTGTACTTCTGCAGAGGCACCGGCGACGGGCCGGGTGAGCCCCCCGCCCGAGGCCAGGTGCGATCTGCACGCTGACCCCAGTGGGGGGGCGCTGGCTAAACCCGCCGCACGGGTGAAAGTGGACGCCGTACCTGGCTCTTGTCTCTCTCTCTCTCTCTCTCTCTCTCTCTCTCACCCACCCCCCTGAGTGGAGGTGGGCCCTCGGCACATCCATTCAAGTTAGTCTTACTGAAACGCCACCGAAAACGGAGGTTTCCAAAAGCTCTAGGAGGGGACAGCTCTCACAGAGGAAGAGTGCGAGAAAGAGGCAGGGAAGGAGGAGGAGGAGTGGGGGGGGGGGCCTCCGCAGCCCGGACGCCGGGGAGCTCTCCGGGCGCAGATGCGGGCGCAGGGCCTCCGGCCGGCCGGCCGCTCCCCAGGGCTGGGCCTCCGAGCAGAAACGGCCAGAGTGACCCCCGGCCACTTTCCTCGGCTCTCTCCCTCCTCCTTCAGCCCAGCCCCCTCCGAGCCCGGCCCGGACAGGCACCCTGAGCTGGCCGGCCCAGGACAGTGCTTCGCAAGTGTCCAGAGACACGACCTCTTAAACGGCACAGCCACAGACACTGAGCACCTCACGCAGCCGCCGGGAGAGTTCTGCCTCCCCACGGGCCGACGGATCGCAGTGCGGACGCCCCACCCCCCGCCAGCGCCGGAGGGCACGCAAGGCCTGTCTGCAGCGTAGGACCCTCAGTGGGGGTCCGCCGGCCGGTCAGAAGCATGCGCACCTGCTGCACGGTCACACGCCCTGTGAGCGGCGGAGACCTCCCTCTCCACGGAGACGCTTGCTTCTCCGCCACGGAAACCAGCCGCCCCCGCCGCCCCCGCCGCCCCCGGGCGCCTCACCTGTCTGTTCAGCGTGATGGCGCTGGGCTGGCACTTGGTGCAGATGCCGTTGGGCCACGGCAGGTGCCCCTCACACCCCGACTTAATCTTGCAGCTGATGTTCTCCAGGGCGACAAACTTCCCCCTGAGCGAGAGGCACCTCAGTCGGACAGGACACGGTGCGAGGCCCGGCGGGAACCGGGAACGCTCGAACCTCTCACAGCTCCGGATGCAGCACGAAGGAGCCGCAGGGGGAGGCGCGGGAGTCTGCTGACGGCGCCGCGGCCCGGCCCGCAGGGCACCCGCCCGCTGTCCTGGGAGGGCCCCTCCACTCCCCACTGCCGGCCACCAACACCCGTGATGACTCCCAAGGACACTGCGAGCCCCCACTGGCGGGGCTCAGCGGGGCCGGTGTGGTCCCGCAGAGCAAAGGGTTGTTGGTTCGACTCCCAGTCAGGGCTCAGGCCTGGGTGGGGGGCCAGGTCCCCGGGTGGCAGTGGGTGGGAAACCATCACACGTTAATGTCTCTCTCCCTCTTGTTTTCCCTCCCTTCCCCTCTAAGTAAATAAACAAAACCTTAAAAATGTTTTAAAAACCTAGAAACTGCAAAAGAAAAACACTGGCAAACTGAAAAAATGAAACGGTTCTTAAAAGACACTGACGGGCACCTAAGACCTCACCCGTGCCCCCGGGAGGGGACGCGGCACCTCCAGGCGCCGGAACACCCCCGCCGCCGCGGGCCCGCACTCAGACGTCTCCAAGACGCCCTCACGCGCAGGGAGCCTGGCTCGGCCCCGCGGCAAAGGCGTCCTCGCCCGCCCTCGGCCCGGGCAGAGCTGCGGTCGGAAGACTGGGGTTGGGGGTGGGGTGGAAGTGTGGCCCCTGTGGGTGGACAGAGCCTCCACCCACCGGCTTCTTTTCGACAACCAGTGAAACCCGTGAACCCCGGGGCCCCGGGCCCCGCCCGAGCCTCACTGAGCCTGCTCACAGGCTCAGCTGCCACCAGCCGCGCCCGCCACGCGCAGGGACCCGACCCCCGCGTGCCGCCCGCGCCCGGACACTCACTTGTCGGCCCCGCCGGTCAGCTTGCGGATGTAGGCGTGGAAGGACATGTGCTTCACGGGCGGCTCCAGGTGGTGCAGGTAGTCCTCGTCGAATGGCTGCCGGGACACGGGCCGCCCGGTCACGCGCCGGCGGGGCCTGCCGGGCCGGGGGCCGCGCTCCCGAGGGGCAGGGAGGCCAGGCCCACGGGGCCAGGACGGAGGGGGGAACGGGGGCGGGACAGGGGCTCTCACTGCCCCTCTGGGCCAGAGCCGGCCTCTCCGTGGGATGCTAGCCATCTTTCCAGGGTGAAAATGGGACCTGGAGCCCCACTGAACATGAAACACCCCAGGCCAGGGGAGTGCTAGCAGGACTCTGCCTGCAAAGAGAGTCGCAGGACGAAGCCAACGGACCCTCCTGGGGAAAACCGGGCTGGCCTTCTGCCAAAGTCAGCGTTGACCAGGGACCAGGCGGCATCACCATGGCAACCCTCAGTCTCCCCAGACAACGACCCAGCAGCGGGCATGAGCTCGGGGCGGAGCAGACCAAGACGACAGGGGCACGAACCCGCCCCACCCAGCTCTGGGCCGGGCCCCACAAAGCCGCCCGGAGCCCTCGGTGCCCTCGGCCCTTTCTCACCGAGACGCAAACGCCCGAGCCGCTCACAGCCCGCCCAGAAGGCCCCGGCCGCAACCCCCACGGCCGCCTCTGTGCAGCGAGCTCGGGGCGGGGGACCCGGACACGGGGCAGCCGTGCTGGCAGACTCACCTCCAGAGGGACGCAGTGCACGCACTTCCCCAGCGGGCCGTGGCGGCACCTGAGAAGACAGGGGCGGGCAGAGGAGCGCACGCGGTCAGCAGGCCGCCCTCCTCCCGAGGCCTCCGGCACTCGGGCCCGCCCACGCGCAGCGGGCCGAGGGAGGCAGGCTCGGGCGGCACACGGGGAAGGCTGCTCCCGACAGCCCGGGTGACCTCGGTGTCATCAGGAGAAAGCTGACCGGCAGCCTGCCATCTCAGGGGTGCTGAGGGCTCAGAGCGCTGCCGGCCCCGAGCGGAGGGGGTGGACTTAGAGCCGTGTGCACAGAACGCTGGGCAAACACCGAGGAAGGCGGTCCCCGGACGCGGCAAACGCCAACGGCGGAAGGAGGACCACTCGCATCCGGGGACCGCCCTGTCGCCCACATTTGGGGGAAAAGCGTGGAACGGAATCTGGCTGTGCGGGGCTCGCCGCTTCGGCCGCTGACACCCTGGACACGCCGCGCCGCGGAGGTGCGCCCAGGGGCCGAGGGCGGTGGCCGGCTGGTGGGAGGCCAGAGGTCCCTCGGGACCCGCCCAGAGCCTCTCCCAAAGGGCTGGGCTCCCTGACACACCAGCCCTCCCTCTGGGAGCAGAGACGGCCGGTCCTTCCTGACGGGCAGGCTCTGCGGCTGGAGGACACGCCGGCGTGCCCGCACACGCATGTGTGCCCTCAGCGGGGCTGCTGGTGAGGCCTCGGAGGCAAGGACGGGGCGGCTGGCGTGGCCACCAGGGGGACGCGCACACAGAGCGGGGGGCCGGCTGGGGGCTCCGGCGTCCCCGGGCCGCAGCATCAGCGCTGCCACGCGGGGGCGGGGGGCCTGCAGCTGCCCCCCCCGGGAAGAGCCGCAGAGGCCCGGACTGAAGCACACCGCCATGCACCCGCGCCGGCCCGGTGACCGGCCGGCCAGCCTGCCGGGGCGCCGCCTGCAGCCGCCGGGGTGCTCACAGGAAGGGTGGGGAGAAAGCCCGGGCGTGTGAGGCGGGACCCGCTGCACCATCCCCGCGCGAGGTGACAGGGACAAGCACCTTGCACGAGTGGGCAGCCAGGTGTCACGCTGGGGTTCCACCCCGCCCCGTCCTGTCCCGCCCTAAAGCCCCCTCTGCACAGCAGGTCCCTCGGGGGCACCTCGAGTACAGACTTGGTTTAAGGACCCTCGTCCTCTCAAATCTCTCAGTTCCCAAAACCCAGAAACGTTCAAGTCCATGGGCACACACTCTGAGGTCCAAACCACGGCGACGGCCACAGACAACGGAGTGGAGCTGCGTCCGCCAGCAGAGGACCGGCTGCACACCCGCCCGGGCTCCCTGCCCGCCCAGCCTCCCCGCCCAGGGCCGCCCGGCACTCACAGCTGCGGGTCGCGGCTGCGGTAGATCTTCCCATCCTGCCGGCTCAGGTACTGATCGATCTCGTCCTCCACCACGGGGGGCGCGCCGGAAGCCCGGGACCTCGGCGGGGCGCCCGTGTCCATGTCCGAGGAGGGCCCGGCGCGGCTCGAGGGGAACAGGAACAGCAGGTCGCCGTGCCTGGGGAACGGCAGGCGTCAGCGCAGCCCGGGGCCCCGAGAACCTCGGTTTCCAGCGCTGGGAGACCGGAGCTCCTGCCCCACACCTCCGCCCCCCCGCCAGCCCCTCAGCGCCCCACAGGTCCACAGCCGCGTCCCCGAGACCCCCAGGCTCCCACAGCCGGGCCTGACGGTCGGGGGACAGATGTCCACACGCCGTACGACCACACAGGGTCAGGACGCCGGCCCAGCCCATCCACGGGTTCCTGGCCGCAGACTGGAAACCCCGTCTCGCTCCCCGGCCGGCTCAGCCTGTGTTCACGGGGACTCTGCGCATCCGTGGGCCCGGGCGGCTCGGACGCGCCGCTCAGGGCTGAGCCGTGCAACCACCCCGCGGGCCGGCTGTGCGGGCAGCTTCTCCCCCGCCCCTCTCTGTGCACCCACACCCCCCCAGTCACCCCCAGCCCCGGGTCAGCTCCCCGCACTCTGCCCGCCCACAACACACCCTTCCGCCTCGCTCCCTACCTCCCGCACACACCCCCACATGCACACGTGTGTCACTCGGGACCAGGGTGAGGTTCCCAAAGACACGCTGTTCGCGTCCGCTTTTCCCGTGCAGCACCGCCTCCCAGGGCGCAGCCACACACGGTCTCGTCTGACCGGCCGCTCCTGGGGCGGCTGCGCGGCCTGGAGGACAAGGGGGGGGCGCGGGCAGCTGCGGCCAGGGCCTCGGGACACCTGCCCCCCTCCTCCCCTCCTGTCCTCCCGGGGAGAGGGGGCGCCAAGCTGCGCCTGGGGCCTTCTGTGCGTGGCAGGGAGCAGACGCCCCCGCGCACCCTCAGCCACGGACCCCAGCTCTGCCGCCGCGTCGGCTTTAATGCACGTTCATTCTCTAGAACGCATTGCCGAGTGCTGGAGACCGTGAGGCAGCCCCGGGGCCCACAGCACCAGCAGGAGCCCGAACAGGGCTGGCGGGACGCAGCCCAGCGCCGCCCCCGGAGGCCCCACCCGGGAGCCTGGAACGGGGCTCGAGGCGGGGCAACCAGGTGAGGCCCTGGGCCCCCGGAGCGGCTCCGTGCCCAGAACCGCGCAGAGCGAGGCGCCTGAGCTGTCTCGCGGCGCGGGCAATCCCAGGAGGAGCCCCACCATCTGCACAGCAGGGGGGGCGCCACCTGTGCACCTGCAGCCCGGGGCCAGCTCCGCCTCCAGGGCTCCTTGAGTCAGAAAGACAGAAACCGTCTCCCAGAAACCGTCTGGCCCCCCGCGCCCCCCCCCGCCCCGTGCCAACAGAAGCAAACGCACGCTGTCTCAGGAGGAGGGCCACCAGCCGGGGTCCCCTCAGAGTTCCCCAAGACCCAGCTGGTCAAACGCAAGTTCCCAAGGAAGGCCACCAAACGTAGGGAAGGGACGGACCACCGGAAGCCAGAGTGGGCAGAGACAGCACTGACCGTGCGGTCAGCCAGGCAGGGCAGACGAGGGGTCTCAGAGGCACAGGACGCGCTCCTCCACCTGGCCCGTCGGAGCAGAGCACGACAGAAGCGCGTGGTGGGCGGCAGCAGGAGGCCCGTGCACCCTGGGAACCCTCCTGCCGAGCCTGAGGAGCGCCATGGCCCTCCGGGGAGTCTCTTGGCAAGAACTGCAGCGTGGGCAACGGGCCACTGCAGGTAGGTGGGCGGGCGGCTGGCCGGCCGGCCCTCCTCCCCGCCGACCCCGCGGGCCCCCAGGCGGAGCCCTGCGCAGAGCTCCAGGCCCCGCTGAGCAGTGGCCGAGAGCGTGCACGGCCTCAGACCAGGGACCCGCCTGGCAGGCTCCTGCGGGTCGGCCACACCAGCGCCCCCGACGGCAACCAGAGTCCCCGTGCCCGCTGGCGCCTGGCGGGTGCGGCTTGGTGGACGGACTGAGCGCCGGCCTGCGGACCCAAGGGCTGAGGGTCCGAGGCCCGGTCAGGGCGCAGGCGGGGTTGCAGGCCAGGTCCCCAGCAGGGGGCGCTCAAGAGGCGACCACGTGAGAGGAGGCCACACGGCATTTCCCTCCCTCTCTTCCTCCCTCCCCGCCCCCTCGCCCTGAAGGTGAATGAAGCCTTTTTAAAGACCAGGGCGGCCGGAGCCCCTGGATGGCCGGATGGCTGGGGTCCGCGTGTGCTCCACCCCGCCCCCCCGGGGCGCTCACTTGATCTTCAGCAGGTTGAGGGACTTGTTGGAGGCTGCGGTGATCTCTCCAGTCTTGTTTCTGTTGATGTAAACCGAGAAGCCGTTGTTCTGGAAGCCAAACTCCTTCGCCACCTGGAACGAGCCCCGGACAGCAGAGACTTAAACCAACGTCCAGGCCCGACTGGCGAGGCTCAGTGGGCTGGGCGTCGCCGGCCGTCTCCGGTTCAAGTCCCGGCCGGAGCCCGCGCCTGGGTCGGGGGCCGAGTGCCCGGCCGGGGGCGCGTGAGAGGCACCCGGTCAGTGTTCCTCTCCCTCTCCCTCTCCCGCCCGTCCTCTTTCTCTCTAGAAGTAAATAAACAAAATATTTTTAAAAATGAGCAAACTAAAACTAACTCAGAATCAACGTGTCATTATGAAATTCTAAAAGTGGTAAGAAGTCACCTTTCTTAGGCAGGTTTTTATATCAGATGTACTACAGTAATATTTGATACTATATGATTTTTCTCAAAGCTAAAAGGAGCATGTATAAAATAAACCATCAGAAAATTAAGGCCATAAAATCTGTATTCCCAAGTGCAAAAAAATTAGGACTAAAGACTAAAAATAATGGCTTTGACTTTTCTCTGAAACTGCTTAGATATAACTGAAATTAACCAATTGTAGCATTTTACCAATTCTGCAAAAACTACGCTTTTTCTACAGACAAAGTACCGCAAAGTGTCACCGAGAATGAGGACTCTTTCGCCAGGATGTAAGCCTCGGGGGAGTTAGACACTCCTCAGGGTCAGGCACTGTTTCCAAAAGGGGCAGGGGGCTGCCCCACGACCAGGCGACCGCAGCCCCCGCCCCGCCCGCGCTGCAGCCCCGCTCTGGGGAGAGGTGCGGGCCGTGGGGCACACGTGCACACTTCCTCGCGGCACGGCCGTGCGTCTGAAGGCACGGAACCCACCACAAAGGCACTGGGCTTTCCAACGAGATCTCCGCGGAGCCCCCCCCCCCCCCATAGCGCAGCGGAAACCCGAACACCTTTCCGTCCACACCCTCGGCCCTCCGGCTGTGATCCTCCCCCAGCCATGATGGCTGCAGCACGGCCGGCCCCGGGGCGGGGTGAGGTGCTCCGGACACTGGTCAGCGAAGGCGACAAGGGACAGCAGCGGCGCGACGCCGTCCCTGGGAACCGGCGTCCAGGCTCCGGGAGCGCGCCCAGATGGCGACGGCCCACCGGACGGGCGGCCGCTGCTCCCTCATCAGTCGGCTGCCCCTGCTTCCCAAGCATTTCCGGGCAGGCATTTTACTTCGTGGGCAAGAGAAGTTCCCAGGTGCCAGGAGGAGAAGGGGCTGCGTCACCCCCCCACCCCCCCAGGGGCCCAGGAAGACAGGCCTCAGGACCGCCCACGGGAAAGCGCAGGGAGGGCCCGCGGTGGCTCACAGCGGCCTCAGGGCAGCGCTGGCGGCAGGCAGGCAGGGCGCTGGGAGGGCGCAGCCAGGAGAACCTGCCCGGGGCGTCACAGGAGGACGACTCAGAAGGAACTCGAGAGAGACGCGTCGGACGGGCTCAGAGGAACCAGTGCGTGCCCGACCCTGCGGTCACCAGAGTCACACACACCGCCATCCTCACAGGGCGCAGGGCACACGGCACACCAGGGCCCAGGCCCCGAGCTGCAGCCGGCACTGTCCGCGGCAGACAACACCCACTCTTCGGACAGGCGTCCGAGGGCAGGACGGCCATCTCCCAGCTCACTCACGGGGCACACGTGGGCAGCCAGGTGCTCCGTCACGGGGAGCAAGTGCACACCCACTGACACGAGCACTGGGGCAGGGGGCTCACGGGGACGTGGCAGGATGGCAGTTCCCAGGAGCCGGGGGCCGGGGTAGGGGGTTACTAATCTTAGTGGGGGGGACACAGGCCCAGGTCTGCAGGCGGGCAGCCCTGCAGGTGGGCAGCCCTGCTGGCGGTCACGGTGCTGGCCACACAGAGTGAGCACCCTAATGCTACCAAACTGCCCACTGGGAAGTGGTTTCTGTGCAAGGTGCCAGGTTGTTCTGATGAGTTTTTAAAGAGATGTACGTCTGAAAAATAAATAAGTAAAATGAAAAGCTGTGAACGCATTTCCAGGCGCAGAACCACGCCCATAACCTCTGGCAGGTGGAAAGAAGCAGGCCACACATGACCACACGGCGGGGCGCCCGCCCGGCAGCAGCAACCGGCGGTGCACCGGCCCACAGGGCCGCAGGGCTGATCACGGGTCACTGCCCGGCTCGTGTGAACCTGTCACTCAGCTGCCCGGACCGGCCCCCTGCGGCCCCCGACAGTCCTACCGGACGAGCCGTCCACTGTCAGCCAGGGGAAGTGGGGTCTCGGCTGTCAGGCCAACGCTCAGAGCGGGCCCCCCAGCAGCAGCGGGCCACTCGGCCGGGCCGGAGGGTCCGGAAGGGCCAGGCTCCGGCTGTGCCGTGGCGGGAAGCCCGCCCGACCGCCTGCACCAAGGCCTTTCTTCCCGCGTGTGCAGGAGACGAGTGTGTGAGTGAAGGGACTTCCCCGTCAGCCCGAGAAGCAGTGCACCTGAGCACCAATGAACCCCTGAATGGCAGGGGCAGGACGAGTGGGCCTGACAGCAGAGTCCTTGCTCTCAGCGGCGCCCCAGTGCCTCTCCTGCAAGCCGACGACGACGCAGGTCCGCCGAAATGCGGCCGTGACGCGGTGCCGTCCCGTCTCGGTGCACGCGCATGTGCAGGCACGATGACGTGCTAGGTCAGGGGTCACTGCTCGGGGCAGAATTTCCGGGGACTCTCCGTTGCTTCTTACACTTTCCCGCACGGCCTGAGCCCCCCGTGCCTGCTCTGCCGGTGCCGCGGCCAGAGGAAAGGCGTGCAGGGCAGGGAGAGCAGCCCGGAGCCAGGGGTGCCCATTTCTGAGGGCTCCCGAGATCTCCCCCAAGCAATGGCCACGGTGTGGGTGGACGGCATCAGCGACCAAGCAGCCCGAGGCCGACTAAACCTCCCACCCCCAAACCCTTCCCAGGGCCCGCAGGCGACAGGAGGGCCCAGAGGGCAGCACCTGGGCCGCCCGCCGCCCCCACCACCCGAGGGGCAAGCTGACGGTGGTCAGCTGCCACTGAAGAGCCAAGAGCAGAGTCTCAAAGCACCGTGAAAACCCAAGAGGTCCTCCTCTCTTCCGTTGTCCACCGCACCTAATTCTTTCCCTTCACAGCCAGGGTCCCGTGAGCAGCGCTACTGAAATCTTGATAGCAACCACCTTTTAGAAACCAAATTTCCGCCCTGGCTGGGTAGCTCAGTTGGTCGGAGCACTGTCCCGACACACCAAGGTTGCGGGTTCCGTCCCCAGCCAGGGCATCCATGGCAACACAAGAAACCACCAATGCATGCACGAGTGAGTGGAACAACAGAACGATGTTTCTCCCCCAAATCAACTTGAACAAACCAAAACCCCAAGTAAGCACCGTGTCTTCCCCACCAGGTCCCAGCCCCAGTGTGACCACCAGACAACCTCTTCACCCCCTAGGACTCCGGCTCTCACCTTCTGAAATTAAGGAGACCAGACCATGTCACACCTAAGATTCCCTCCGACTCTTAACCACCTGTGAGTTCACCATTCCCGGCTCGTGAGGAGTGAAAAACGTTACTTTTTATCATTGCAAAGGCACTGCCTGCTTGCAGCAGACTCACACGCCACGCCACGTGGGAGCAGAGGCACACACCCCCCCCGCCCCCAGTGAGCAGCCCGATGGCGAGGGCCTGGCTCTGGGGGCCACACCCCCCCACAGCCACTCCACGCGGTCGCCGGGTCTCCAGCAGCGAGACGCCCACGAAGCAGTGCGAGGGGCTGCATCCCAGCGAAACCCGGTGTCCGAAGACGGGCGTCCGGCCGGAGGGCTGTGGCCTGCCCCCCAGGCTGCCCCTGCGGTCTGGCGGCGCTCTCTCCCACCTCACTCTGTGCTCGCACCACAGGCCAGCAGGGCTTTCATCCCCCAGGACAAGGTGGCGCCGTCCTGTCGGGGGTCTAGCAGCTGCCCCCTGGGCCCTGGCCGGCGGCTCAGGTGGCCAACTTCCGTCCCCATACGTCACTCACTCACGAACACTGCTCCCGAGGAAGGCTCTGCACTTCCTGTGGGGCCGTGGTCCTGCAGCCATCGCCATGGCCCACCGCAGCACAGCCCAGCCCTGGGTCCGCCCGGCCAACCGGGGCGGGAGAGGGCAGCGCGGGAGACCAGCCCGGGGGTGGCAGACCAGGCAACGAGGACCCTGACAGGTGAACACCCAAGCCACAGGTACCTTCTTCAGAAACATGGCCGCCGTCTCTCTCTTCGTCGCCGTGATCCGCTTCACGCCATCTGGGGACTGCACGCGGATGATCTGCAGAGGCAAGACAGACAGACAAGGCGTGACTACAGGCGAGGGAGGAGGGAGGCCGGGCTCTCTGCGGCGTTCGGTCCCTCCAGCCCCACCCTCGCCGGTGCAGGGCCCACCCTCGCGTCCCAAAGATGGAGCGTGGCTGCAAAGAGGCCTGTTGCCAGGCAGGAGGGTGCCCTCGGGGTGCTGCTGGGGTCCTCGACCTCTCAGCCCTTACCTTTCACTCGGAAAAACACAATGGGACTTCCAACCGTCGTTCATAAAAAATGTGTGTAGATGGGAACGTATATGTATACAGATACACATATACACACGTGTACACACACACACACACCTGAACCCATCTTTCCCTTTAGGGTTACAACACAACAGAAAGAAGGGACACCGCCCCGCACACGGACCCTGAGTGGCTGGGTCCCCCCCCACAGGCCCGGGTACGCGCAGGCTCCGCCCACAGGCCCAGCCCCCGGCCGACTGACCAGGATGAGGACGAGGATGAGGAAGCCCTCAGGTCTGCCCCTGACGTCCTCACTTCCTTTTTCCCCCGGGCGGGGTGGGGCGGGGCGGCCACCTCCTCTCCAGAAGGTTAGAACAACTGCGTCTGGGTGACCCCCCCCCCCAGGGCAGAGCCTGGCAGGCTTCTAAGGCAGAGTGGGCCACCTGGCGGCCCCTGGACGAGGAGTGCCCCTTCCCTGGGCGGCCCCCTCCCCGCAGTCCCTGCACTGTGCTCTGGGTCCAGAAAAGGCCTCACGGACTCGCGACAAAATGCCACGGCAACTCCCCACGTCCCGCCCACATCCCCCACACGACCGGAGACCACCCGGTTCCCCAGAAACAGGTTCCCCAGAAACAGCGGGTCTGTCCCTCCCGGTTCCCAGCTGCCCGCACTCGACGACAGCCTCCGCCCCCACGCCGCTCTCGGCCCCTCCGGCGGCTCTGAACCGTCCTCACGAAGCCCCGGCTGTCGGCAGCACAGAACACTCTCTACTTTTTGCTCCTTAACCACAGTGGCCCACTCCCTCCCTCACCCCGGGGAGGGCAAACTTGGAAGCTCTTAGCTTCTGACTCCCAGTCCCTTCCCCTCTGGCTCGACTCCTCGACAGGCGTCCCGGGCACGAGGTTCCCGCTTCCCCGTGTCCCTGTCTCAACTGTCTCCACGGCTGAGACGCGCTCAGAGGGAAGAGCCTCTCCCTGCAGGGACTCCGGGGCGGCCCCTGGACCTGCTCCCTGGGCGAGCTCGGGAGCCGCCCACTCCGAAGGTCAGAGGTGCTCGGCTGGGGACCGCTGGGAGGCTCGGGAAGCTACTCGACTCGACCGGCGGCAACACGGCCGAGCGGGCCCAGTGTCCGCGCCAGGCCCAGGGTCTGGCTCCTTCGGGGGGACGCTCTGGCTTGGCTTCTACCACGGGCCACCAAATGCAGCCCTCAGCAAGGCACAGGCTGGCAGCAGGGACACACAGCCTCCTGGTAACTCGGGTTCCTGCGTCTACGAGAACATGAGCTCAGGAAACTCCGTGGAGGAGTCTGAGAGTTGGTGAGGTGGAAATCACTGACACCCACAGAAACTCCTAAAAGACCTCTTTCTAAACTCCAGAAAGAAAAAAAAAAACCCTTCTGAATCAACTTCCAAAGGGCCGGAGCTAATGCCTCCCAGTCTGAAAAACTGGCCAGGGGTCCCCCTGCGCCTCCCCCCACCCCGAGTCTGGCCTCATGCACACCAGCTGGCTGGCTTGTGGGGGCAACTTCAGTTCCGATCAGCGCGCGGCTGCGAAGGGAAGGCGTGAACGCAGACTCGGGGGCCAAGTGTTAATCTGCTCCAAGGACAAGTCACCAGCCACTACTGACTTGTTTTAAAGGAGTCAGGTTTCTCTTGGGCCACCTGCAGGCTGGGCCTGCTGGCTGGAGAGCTGAGCAAGGCGTCACGACGGGGAAGCTTCCTCTCCAGCTGCGACGGGCGTGGAGGCGGCGCACACACCCGCCCACCCCTGGGCCGGGCCGGGCGCACTTGTGGCCCAGGGAGCACCCCACCCCCAGGTCCCCACGGCCACCCAAATTCTCCTGTCCAGCGGGTCTGCTGATTTTATTTCCTGCCACGTTGACTTCGCAGGGGAAACCTTCCACGAGTTAACGCGCGGCCGGTGTCATGGTTTGCCAGTAACTTTCTTTTCTGGAAGAGGTAGAAGAGGAGCGCGCCGAGCCCTAATTCCAGGAAGTCAACTTCCACGACGTCCCTGTACAGACAGGGGGCTGTCAACCCTTCCTCGCCGCAAGGAGTCGGCCGGTCAGGCTCCCGTCTCCTTCGGCTCGGCGTCCTCCCCGGGGAGGGGTCTGCAGGGTCCCCGCGCGGCGGAAGCGCTCCCTGCCTTCCAGAGTCGTGACAACGCACCGACCGGGGCGGGGGCGGGGCGGGGCGGGACGGAGCCCCGCGGGGGACGACCGGCGAGCCCCCGCCGCGGGGAGACTGGGACGGAGGCGCTGCCGCGCCGCCAGATCCGCCGCCTTGCCCGGCCCGCCGGCGAGGACGAGGCTCGGGGACGGGGACGAGCCGAGCGGGGAGGTCGGGGACCCGGCCCCGCAGCCAGGCCAACGCGGAGGGCGGGCGGGCCGTGGGGGCCCCCACAGGCCGCGCCGGCAAATCTGCTGCCTCATCCCGGCGCCCGCTCCCGCCCGCCGCCCGACTCACGATGCTGTCGGCCATGGCGGCCGCTCCCGCGTCCGGGCTCAAGCCCCCGGCCGTCGTCGCCGCCTTCCTCCCCACGGGCCTAGCAGCCCCGGCCCCAGCTTCAGCCCCGGCCTCCCGCCGCCGCCGCCACCGCCGCTCCAGCTTCGCCGCCCGACAGCCACAGCCGCGACGTCCGGTGCCTCAGCCAACTGGTTCCCCCGGCCGCGCAGCTCCGAAAACTGGTTCCGGCCGCACCAACGGCCGCGCCTGCGCACCGCGGCCCCGCGCCCGCCCCGGCTCCTCGCGCCGCGCCCCGCCCCTTCCCGCCCCGCACGCGGCGGAGAGCGGGCACCCGGCCGCACGAGGAGCAAAACTTTGGGGAGACAGTTTTACGTACACCTCAAACTAATATAAAGTAACACTGAGTGTCAGCCGTAGTTGAAAATTTTTAATTTGAAAATGTCTTAAAGCAAAAAAGAAACAAGCCCTGGCCGGGAAGCTCACTGGGTTAGAGCGTCGTCCCGACGCGAAGGTTGGGGTTCGATCCCCGGTGAGGGCACGCACGGGAAGCGACCGACGAATGCGTGAATGAGTGGGGGAACAGCAGGGCGATGTTTCCCTCTCTCTCTCTCTCTCTCTCTCTCTCTCCCTCTAAGATCAATTTTAATTTTTTAATTTAAAAATTTTTTAAATGAAATAGGACTTTATTGATGACATGTGACTGTTACTAGAAACCCAAGCAAACCGAGGAAAGTCCGACGAGAAACAGGAAGAACCGTTGGTGGGCTGTGATTGGGCGCGTGGCAGGGCAAACGCCTCACTGGTCGCAGAGACAGAGAAGTGACGTCAGGAGGGTGGTGGTGTGCCTAAATGGGTTTTTCAAAAAAAAGATTTTGTTTATTTATTTTTAGAGAGAGGGGAAGGGAGGGAGAAAGAGGGAGAGAAACATCACACTGTGTGGTTACCTCTCCCATGCCCCCCACTGGGGATCTGGCCCACAACCCAGGTATGTGCCCTGACTGGGAATCGAACCAGCGACCCTTTGGTTCACAGGTCGGTGCTCACTCAATCCACCCAGCCACACCATCGGGGCCTAAACGTTATTTTAAAAAGAGAGGAGTTAACTTTTCCTGAATGTAACCTAAGAAAAACACATGGATTTTGGCTGTCTTTTAGATAAACGTTTCTTTGCCACAGAGATACCGTGTCCCACAGCGGGCCACCAGCGCCAGCTCCCCGCACCCACCTCCTGCGCTCCAAGGCCTCGGCTCCCTTCGAGGCTCCGCCTTCCCGTCCTCAAGCAGCGGAGTCCGGACAGGAAGCTCCGCACTTTCATTTCGAGCCAGGCCCCGCGTGTTCCATCCTGATGTCTGTGATCGTAAAAAACTCGTGCACCCATCCAAGAGGCTAAAAACCTATGCATTTTAACCCCTGTGGTTCAATTTCCGATTCTGTTCATTTAACTCTGGTACTGGAAAACGCTGGGAAATTGTCACTGTCATTTCCTCCCATCCCCACCTGATTTCGTTGTGACCGGCACCGTGACAGTGCTTGGGGCACCGTCTCTTCCACGGTCTCAGTCACAGCAGTTACTTGAACTTGAAGTATTCATTCCCTCACCAATTACCCACGTTTTGTGGGCATTATACCCGGGGTTATTATACCCACTGTTGTGTATGTAATCACTATTCTCACGTATAATGCACATCCTTATTTTTCCCCAAAAAATGTGGGCAAAACGGTGTGTGTTATACAAGGCAAACTACGATACCATTCTGTGTGTCGGTTCTGCCCGCGGCGGCTCTCGCGCTGGGGACAGAGCAGGAAAGAACCAGCGCCCTGCCCTGGCGGAATCCGCCAGCAGGAGGCTGACCAGACGCACGTCAGCACAGAAATATGTGATGTCAGGTTCTGGCCCGGGCCTGGCCCGCAGCCCAAGGGGCGGACCTCCCCGAGGGCAGGCCTGAGCCAGTTGCAGACTGACGCAGGGATCTGAGGGCAGAGTGCACAAGGGTGCGGGGAAAGCAGGCGCACAGCCCCAGGCGCCTAAGGGACCACGGAGGCCCACGGGGCGGAGTGCAGGGGCGGGCGGGTCCACTCTGACTTCTCCTGGTTCTTCGTGGACAGAATGGCTGCTGACATTGTCGCTTCTCTTGTCACCAAACGTATTTCTTCCAGGGAGGCTAGGCCCCTTCCTGGTGAGCCGCCTGGGCGTGACCATGTCGGGGCACTGCCCGGCGACAGCCGTGCCACCCTGTGACACGTAGATTACCTTCCCTCTCCAATTCGGCACCGCGAAGAAACTACACAGGTTTTTTACGCTACATTCGTAGCTGTGTTTGTTTTCTGGGGCTGCCGAAACAGGAGACCCCAGGCCAGGGGGCTTAGCCTGGTTGTCTCCCGGGGCCTGGGGGCTGGAAGTCTGAGGCCAAGGTGCCCCCACTTGGTTTCTCCCGAGGCCTCTCTCCTCGGCTTGCCAACGGCCACCTTGTCCCCCCGCCTTCCTCCTGTGTTCAAGTGTCCCTGGTGTCTCTCTGTGGGTCCCAGGTTCCTCTTCTTATAAGGACACTGCAGTAGGGCCCTCCCTCGTGGCCTCATTTAAAGTTGACGACCCCTTCACAGGCCCCGTGTCCAAGTCATGTCCCGAAATCCTGGGGTTGGGACTTCGTCACATGAATCTGGGGAACACCATCCAGCCCACAGCAGTGGCTGCGGTGACTCTCTCCGTCCCAATATCAGGACAGCACTGAGATGGGGTGAGGGAAGGGAGGTGACAGCTGGCCCCCAAGGGCCTGGCTTTGGAACCAGATGCAGCCACTGATGAGGCTTGGGTGTCACTTTGGGGGAAGAGCTGAGTGACAGCTTGACTGTACATGGTCTCGTCTCCAGGTCCCACCCTTGCCCGGACCCCTGCCTGCTGGGCTGCGAGGGGTCCTTTTATTTTATTTTACTTTTTAAGATTTTATTTATAGAGAGAAGGGGAAAGAGGGAGAAGAAGAGGGAGAGAAACATCACTGTGTAAGACATACATCGATCGGTTGCCTCTCACATGCCCCCACTGGGGAACCTGGCCTGCAACCCAGGCCCGTGCCCTCACTGGGAATCGAACCAGTGACCCCTCAGTTTAAGGGCTGAGCTTTGACGCACACATGGCCACCTCACACACATCACAGAGGGGAAGAGGAGGTGTGGCCAGCCTGTGCCTCAGGTCTGGCAGAGCCCCAGGCAGGCAGGGCGGTGGGGGGGGGTGGTTGGACGACACGGGGATGAGGCAGCCTGAAGCCTGGCTGTGGGCATGGCGGCCGCGTGCCAGGCGTCCTCTCTGCTCAGGGCGCGATGGTGACCGTGATCCAGTCCCGCCCCTCAGGAGCTCAGAGGGCGGGCGAGCCCAGGTACCCGTGGCCAGGAAGGATGCGCTCTCGCCAGCGGGTATTGTCTTGGCCTTACAGGGAATCAGTCGGGGGGAAGCTGGCAGTCAGCGGCAGGCAGGGGGCCTGGGACTGTCACCGTGAGCCAGTTCACAGGGCTCTGTGTCCCTGGGGGGGCGGGGGGAGCAGCCGCTGGAAATGCCGGGCCGAGGGCCACACGGGGCCCCGCAGTGACGGCCTTGGGGCCAGCCCCCTAACAGCCCCCGCAGCGTGGAGTCCATGGGCTGGAGAAGAAAGGCGGCCGCATCTGCCCGGGCAGAGCCCGCCCTAAGCCCTAGAACATGACTCCTCACATGATCCCCCGTGACCGTGCCGTCCCGGTGGGGCTCCCAGCTCACCCCGCCCTGGGCTCCCAGCTCCCGGAGCGGCCGGAGACACCACAGCACCGGCCCCCGGGTCCCAGCCGGAGGCCAGCAGGGACCAACACGCCTGTCCTGGTAGAGGATGAAGGAGGGGGAGAGGAGCCCCCTGCTGTCCCTGGTGAGCTGTCCCTGGTGGCCTCCCCGAGCCGGAGGGGGATGTCCCCAGGCCCAAGGCCTGTGGAGCTGCTAAGGTTGGGGAGGGGTTTTACTGACCAGGTACTCGACCTCACCCAGCGCCCTGTTCAGGCTGCATGCTGTGACCTGGCCTGGCCCTTGCATCTGACACCGCCCTGGTGGGTCCATGCCCCCAGGAAGGCACACACCGGGGGGAAGGTGCCCACAAGGGCCTCCCTCATATCCTGCCCCTCCCTCTCCCTCCCCCCCAGACCCCTCAGCCTCCTCACCTCCCCTGGGGCCCCGCCCCCCTGCCCCTGTCGCTCAGCCCAGCGCAGCCCCCGGACAAGGGATGGGGGTGGGGGGGTCTCTGCAGATATGAGGGCGCCCCACGGCTCAGGGCTCAGGGTGCAGGAGGTGCTGGGTGCACAGGCCCCTCCTGGAGGCCGGGGAGCTGCAAATGACCCCTCAGCCCACACCACGGCCCCCCGAAGCCTGGGCCCCCAACCCGCAGGGCCAGCAGCCTGCCCCTGTGCTCCCGCCGATTTTGGGGCCTAGAGGCTGACACAGCCTCCCCCTCTCCGCTCCGGGCTCAGAGTCCGGGAAGCGTCAGTGCAGGGTCGGACGAGTGGGGGGGGGCGGTGTCTTCCTGGGGGACGGCACTGGGAGTGACCCCTGCCTGGGCACCCGCCACAGCTCCCTGGCTCCTCCCCCAGCAGACACCAGTCCTGGCAGGACCAGATGCCTGCGTGTGGCCAAGCAGGGCCGCTGGGGCGGGCTGTCCCTCCCAGACCTGCCTGTGGGTGGGGGGGAACCGGCAGGGCTGAAACGGAGACTGTCCGTGACGGGGCCCAGCGGGCCAGGCTCTGCGGCCTCTGCAAACCTCACTGATCAGCGAGCCACTCCTCTGCAGGGAGCCAGGGGAGGGACGGGCCCCCCAACATTCAGCGCCCCTTCACCCTCTGCCTTGGCACAGCCAGGGCCCTGGGCTTGCCTGCGGGTCCTGCTAGAGGGCAAGGCGGGCCCCTGGGCAGGCCCTGCCCCTCTCGGTCGGAGCCTGGTCTCCCCGCCGCAGGCCCAGTGCAGCGTCTGCACCCACGTCGTGGGGGTGACCGAGTGCATCCCAGGACATGGGGGCCAGCGCCAGAGCGGGAGGCAGAGGGCCGCTACCTGCGCTGGCCCTCCGCCTGGCGGCCCCCAGCATGGGCGGAGCAGCCTCCTCCAGACCACACCCCTCCTCAAGCAGGTGTAGAGGGGGGCGGGAGGGGCGTGTGCTGGTGGAGCACGCACCTCCCAGGGTCCCTGCTCCAAAGGAGCTGGGCCTCGGCCTTTTGGCCTGGAGGCTCCCGCGTCCCTGGCTGTCTGGAGTCTCCGAGTCCTTGGATCAGAAGCCATGGGGTCCTGGGGTCCCACGGCTGAGATCCTCTGTCCCTGTTCCTCCGCAGGACCCTGGCGGCCAGGAGCCGCCCCTCGCTTCCAGCTGCCTGGGTCCAGCAGGAGGGGCCCGGAGGACAGGCTTTGGGGGAGGCCAGGCCCCCCCACTCCCGCTGACAAGCAGCTGCCTCCAGTGCCTGACCTTCTTCTCCAACTTCCTCTTCTCCCTGCTCGGCCTGCTGGCCCTGGCCGTCGGGCTCTGGGGCCTGGCTGTCAAGGGCTCTCTGGGGAGCAGCTGGGGGGGCCCCCTGCCCACAGACCCCATGCTGGGGCTGGTGCTGGGGGGCCTGGCGGTCAGCGCGGTGAGCCTGGCGGGCTGCCTGGGCGCCCTCTGCGAGAGCGCCTGCCTGCTGCGCTGCTTCTCCGGGGGCCTCCTGGCCTTCCTGGCGCTGGAGGCTGTGGGGGGGCTCCTGGTGGCGGCCCTCTGGGGCCCGCTGCGGGACGGGCTGGAGCTCACCCTGCGTGTGGCCATCACCCACTACCAGGACGACCCTGACCTGCGCTTCCTTGTCGACCACGTCCAGCTCGGGCTGCAGTGCTGTGGGGCCGCCTCCTACCGGGACTGGCAGCAGAACCCGTGAGTCCGGAAGCCCGGAGCGGTGGAGGGGGGTCACAGCCACCCAGGTGCGCACACCCACACACCAGCACACACCCACATGTGCACACCCATGCACACACACCCACACACGCCTGCAGGTGCACACATGTGTACACACACCACATGTGCACACCCACATGCTTGTACACACTTGCATGTGCACTCGTGCATACACACCCACACCCACATACTCACCCACACCCACGTGTGAACACCCACAGGCATGCACTCCCATGCACCAACATGTGCACACTCAGGCCCAGCCAGGTGGACATGCAGGAACCTTAATGGAGAAGCACAGCCCGCAGATTAGAAAGTCACTTTGGGGTGTTTTCTGGTGAGGACACCGCACAAAACATCAAATGTCAAATTCAGGATGCTCTCTGGCCACTGCGCGTGTGTCTGTGTCTGTGCGTGTGTGTGTGCGTGTGTGTGCGTGTCTGTGTGTGCCTGTGTGTCGAGAACAACACTTCCCCTCGGCCCTGGAGTTCCTCCCAAGCCTCTCACCTTTGGCCGCTGCCCAGCACTGTCCCTCACGCCCCTGCTGGGGCCTGCTGACCACGACGGAGGCCTCTGCCCCCCTTCTGCCCCAGCTCTTCCTGCTCCGACCAGCTCAGCAGCACCTGCCCTGCAGGCCGCCCCGCCCCGCCCCCCAGGGCTTCCCTCCTCTCCACCATCTCACTAGCAACGCCCCTCCCAGCCCAGAAGGTATTCCATCTGCCCACCAGTGCAGAGGGCCACCGCGTGCCGGGGCCGACCCCAGGAAGCTGGGCCTGGCGTGCGTGCACCGTCAGTGTTCCCAGGAAGGTGTGTGTGGGTCCATGCCCAGGGCCTGTGTGGGCATCATGCGCATGCAGTCCTGCCCGAGTGTGCTTGCGTGTGCACGCGCCTGTGCCTGGGTGTGGCCTGGGACGTGTAAAGGTGGGTAGGAGCCACCCCGCCCAGCGTGGGGAGGCAGGAGAGTGGGCCCCGCCCTCCAGAGTGACCAGGGCACTCCTTGCAGGTACTTCAACTGCAGCTCCCCAGGGGTCCAGGCCTGCAGCCTGCCTGCCTCCTGCTGCCTCGACCCCCGGGAAGCCGGAGCTTCCATCAACGACCAGTGCGGCTTCGGCGCCCTGCGCCTGCCGGAGGACGCGGCTCAGAGAGTGGTGCACCTGGGGGGCTTCGGCCCGCCCCTCCGGCGGTGGCTTCGCACGCAGGCCCGGGCACTGGGCGGTTTTGTGCTTGCAGTGGTGCTGGTCCAGGGGGCAGAGCTCCTGCTGGCCTTGCAGCTGCTGAAGGCCTTGGCTCTCCGCCCCGGGGCCCGGCCCCCCGCCAAGCAGAACCGGGGCTGACCCACAGCCAGAGACACGTGCCTTGAACCCAGAGCTCCCCATGCTGCTGTGCCCCTCACCCCCGAGGTTCCCCTTCCCGAGGCCCAGCCGCTGCCTGATTCCACTCTTTCAGAGGCCTTGGCCCCAGAGACCACCCACTGACGCTGCCCCTTTGCTTGCAAACTAACATGGTCAGAGCGCTGGCTGCACCCACGAGTGCAGCCTGGGAGCCACGGAGGGGGCCCAAGAGGCCACCAGGCCAGAGGGCGCCCCCAGCTCCAACTTCCACGGCCCAGGCCCACACCCACCCCTGACCCCCACCTCTGACCGCTCCCTAACCTGCCTCCAAGATCCAGCCTCAGCCCCTCAGCCCAGCCCCTCTGACCACCACCCTGAGGCCCCGCCTCCCCAGGCCAACACCTGCCCTGGCGGGGGGGCGGGGGGGGTGTTCCTGCCCTCCCTCTCCGCTGTCCACTGGGGCGGTCGAGAGCGAGGCCCAGGCCTCGCCTCTAGAGGGCGCTTTGGGGAGGGAGTCCACTTTCCGCAGACGCATCATTCGCACAGTAAATGGCACCAATCCACAGTGAGCGGCCTGAGGGTTCTTCCCCATGTAAACGCCTGCGGACCCACCACCAGGTGGAGACGCAGCCCCAACGGCTTTCGGGCCCCCTCCCTGTGGTCGCCTCTGTGGGGCTTCACCGCCTCTCGCTGCTAGGGTGGTCTTTCCCGCCTGTCACGCGAAAGGGTCACAGAGGGGCCTCCCCGAGAGGCACCGTCTGGTCTGGTCCCCGCACTGGTCCCCGTGGGCAGGCACGTGGCAGCTTCCAGATGACGACCGTGGCCGGGGCCTTTCGGGACAGGGCCGCGTGGGGCGCACCTACGCCTGCTTCTCCTGGGTGTGGTCAGCTGCGGAATTGCTGGGTCACAGGTGCCGCTGGCCTGCCCAGCTCTGGGGGACACCACGGACGGGCCCGCTGGGCCACTGGGCGGGTTACCACCCCCCACCCCATCACCACACCTGCTCCCTGCCCCGTGGGGCAGGGGTGGGGGCTCCCTCCGCCAGTGTGAGCTGCTGTTGGGCCTCGTCCACTCCTCCCCCTCGGTGAGGCCGGCCCTGGCCGCCTGGCCGCCCTTGCGGGGGCGGGGGTGTTCAGCCACCTTCCTGGCCCCGCCCTGGCCTGGCCGCCCACGCCCACCCGGCCTTCCCAGGCCCAGGCTCCGCGCCCCACGGGATTCCGTCGCTGTCAGGCTGGCCCGGGCCCTGCCGCCCCCACCGTCCTGTGCCATCATCCTACTGACGGCCCCAGGCTCCGCCCCAGGCCCCGCCCCAGGCCCCGCCCCACTCCCGACACACCCAATGAGCGAGCGGGGGCGGGACGAATTTATTCTGAAACAGGGACAGCGAGCGCGGGGCCGCGCTGGAAAGGACCAGCTTCCCACAGGCGTGGTGGGTTTGGAAGGGTCTCGCTCTCTGACGCCCCAAGACTCCCGCCGCCCACCGCGCCCACCCAGGGGCACCAACTGGGAATGGCTTGCGCGGGCAGCTTGTCCTCGCCTCGGGACAGGCAGGACAGAGGCCGGGCTGGGAGGGGCGCGGCTGGGAGATCCTGCCCTGGTTTTCCAGCCGCGGGACGGGAGGGTCTGTGGGCCAGTGTCTCGGGAGGTCCAGCAGGCGTCCTGGGGAGAGGCGATGGGCTCCTGGTGTCCAGGGGCCTGCGGTCACGCCCTTTGAGGGTCTCCAGACACCCGGACACCACCTGCGCAATCCCGACACCCTCGAGCCTCTTTGCGGGACCCCTGAGCGGGGCGGGAGGCCGGAGCGGACCTCGGGGGAGGCTAGATGATGCCGTACTGGGCCAGCTCGTGCAGCTCCAGGTGGTTGAAGGCCTCCCACGGGCAGATGACCGTGATGTCTGCAGGGGGAGGGGCCGGCATGTCTCGGAGGTCCCGCGGCCCCGCTACCCCCTTGGGGCCCCGCTGTCCACACCCCAAGTGGTGAAGACCCTCCTCCCAGGACACACCAGCTTTTGGGGTGTGGAATGGACACCCCGCTCAGGAAGGCCGTGGGTGCAGCAGGCCTGGGGGAGGGGAGCGGAGGGGAGGGGGCGGGCCTTGCTGCGGGGGAGGGGACAGCACGAGCTCCTCCTCCTCTCCCTCCGCTCCACGCTCTAGGGGAAGCCCCTGTGTGGAAACCACCCCACTTGGGGGGGGGCCCTGAGGCTGGGTGCTCAGGAGAAAATGAAGACTGGGTGGGGGGTGGGACCCTAAACAAGACTCAGCCTGGCCACGCGGGGGGGGGCTGGGCCCCTGGACGTTCTGGGCAGCTGAGCCGGGGTAAACTGGGCAGCCCCTGGCGTCCTCATACCTGTCCCCAGGCCTTCCATTCCGGGGATGTCGTCCCCGAACCTGCAAGGACAGAGCGGTCAGACGGTGGCTGGCGTGAGCGCACAGTGGGGTGCGCGGAATGGGGCCACGTCTGCCCTCGAGTGCAGGTTTCTGAGGACGTGGAGTGCCTGTGGGTGTGCCCAGGTGTGCACGTGGGGGGCTGTGGGTGTGCCCCGGGTGTGGGTGAGTGTGACCAAGTGTCTGGATGACAGTGAGCAAGCTTCCCAGACCCATCGGGCGACAGCGGCTGGAGCTACAGGAGCCTCCGCCGCCCCCCCCTGCCCTGCCCCCCCACCCCACGCTGGCCCCCTGGAACCCAGGCCCCCCAGAGCCCAGTGAGAGGACAGCGGGCCCACCCCAGCCAGCGGAGGGCGGCCGAGGCCCCCACCTCCCTGCTGTGCAGCGGGGGGCTGGGTCCCTCCACCCCCCCGGGAGCCGCCCCTTCCCCCGGCTCTGCTTACCCTTGGACACCTTTCTTGGGGGGTTTGCTCTTGAACTGCCTGGTTTGCCGCTGTTTAAACTTGGGGGGCCCTTTCCTGGGAGTCACGGGCCCCCCGGTCACCCTGGTGGCCGACCGGACCTCGGCCTTGGGCGGCTCCAAATTCATGGCCAGTCTGGCAGGGACCCTGCGGCGACCTCTGGCCTCGGGACCCCCTTACACCGGGCTGGGGGCAGAGCAGACAGGGCCCCGGTCAGCCTTCCTGCTCCAGACCCCTGGCAGATCCTAAGCCACCGGAGGAAACCCCGAAACCCGAGACCCAGCGGGTCCCGAGGGTGACCCAGACAGCAGCCCCCGCTCTGTGGGAGCTCCACAGGGGTCACATGGGGGAGCGAGAGTGCCAGAGACCCCCGTGCACCCCTCCTCACGTGTCTCCCGGCCTCTGCTCCCTCCACAAGCCCTGGGGCTGGCGGGTGCTGTCTCATTCACGGTGGCATGCCAGGCACCCAGCGGTGCCCTGCCGAGGAGGGGAGACCCAAGGAGGGGGGTGCCCGGGCAGGGGGGCGCCTGGCTCAGCAGGAGATGCCGCCGGGCTGGGCTGCGGCTCCTTCAGCGGCAGGGTCTCCCCAGCTGCTCACTGCGCTTGGGGCGCCTCTGGGTGCCCAGTCGCCAGCTGGCATCCTTGCACCACCGCACAGGTGACCTCCTTTCCTCTCCACCAGCCAATGCCTTAAGCCCCAGTGACCTTGGCCAGCCAAGGTCAAGGGCAGCTCGGCTTCCTCCAAGCCTATTAGCGCTGGAGGGAGACTAATCCCTCAGGTCTGCCGGGGTCCAGAAGGTTCTGGAGCGAAGCATGTGATGCAGACAGACAGGAGCGCTGCTCCCACACAGCACACGGCACGTCCCAGGCACGGTCTCCCGGGTCCCCTTGCTTGTCCCCAGGCTGCTGGGCCGCCGAGGGCTGCCTCTGGATTGTCAGGGCTGAGACCACGTGAGACGCGTGGGCAGGGGGTCCCGCTGACCAGGGAGGCTCCGTAGTGGGTGCCGGGCCCCTGGGGTTGGGGTGGACCCGCCATGGGCCCTCCGGCTGGTGCCAACTCAAGTCGACAGAGAGTGTGCGACCCGAGACTCCCAGACCACCCATGGCTGGCCCTGGGGACAGCCTGCACCACCGCGTGGCCAGGGGGCGGGGAGGGAGGGGCCGGCCGGGCGTCCTCTCTGAGCAGGGCAGTGGGTGAGCTCTCGCAGACCCAGGCCTGGGCGAGGTGGTGCAGAGCCCACCAGCCTCCCACCCTCTGGGTGGATGCCCACCAACACGCTTGGTGAGTGGCCGCCAGGGAAAGCCACGACGGGAGGTCACTACTCACCGAGCTCTGGGCCGGTCTCAGGGAGCCACGGGGGTGCGTGGCGGGCCTTCCTCCCCAGGGTGCCTGCCGGGCATTTATCCTGCGGCCAGGTAAGCTGATTAAGACTGTCCCCTGACGCCACGCTAATGAGATTGCCAGGGCCGCCAGGGCGGGCACCACCGCTGAGGATTCTGGGGGTCGGGGACGGGGGAATTCTGAAATCGGGCTGATTGTACAGGGTCCACCGGGTGGGTGTGCATGCACACACGTATATGCACACACTCCCCCAAGTGCCGGCACAAAGCCTGCTAGAATTCCACGGGGCTTTTTTAAAGATTTTTTAAAAATTTATTTTTAGAGAAGGAAGGGAGGGAGAAAGAGAGAGAGAAACATCCATGTGCAGTTGCTGGGGGCCGTGGCCTGCAACCCAGGCATGTACCCTGACTGGGAACCGGACCTGCGACACTTTGGTCACAGCCCGCGCTCCATCCACTGAGCCACGCCAGCCACGTAGAGTTCCACGTTTTTGAGACAAGCACAGAAACCCTCCGGCTACATCGCTGAGAGCTGCGCAGCCCCCCGCGGGCCCCGGGAGGGGCAGGGCTCTGCTGCGCCGCCGTCCACGGGGCCAGCCTCTCCCTCCCCAGACCGTTTTCAAACGTGTGTGGGTGGACGGGGTCAGACCGGACACCCTCTGAGACACAGCCTGACCAACACGTGTCGCTCCGACCACCCACCCCTGAGCCGACCTGCACCCTGAGCACTTCTGGGTGACGCGCCTCACCTGAGCCGGACGGCGGCCGGGACTGCCGGGTGCCAGGTGCTGGGTGCGGCCGCAGCGCGGCACCCATCTGCGGCCGTGCGGCTTCCTCCCCTCGCCCACAGAGCTGTCTCCCCGCGGAAACCCTGGCTGTACACGGGAGGGAAGGGCTCTCTGTCAGCTCAAACCCCTTGTGAGATTCCACCCTCAGCTTTTCCTGCACACGAGGAGGTAAGGCTGGCATAGATTCATTCAACCCCTGCCCTGTCCGGGACGCTGGTCTCAGACCCTGGAATTCATTGCTGGAGGCGGTGGGGGGCGGTGGGACACTCCACGGGCGAGGATGAGCAGGTGACCGGGATGGGCTGCGACCGGGACCCCGGTTCTGAGGCCAATGCCTGAGGCCCCCGGGTCCTTCCGCCCCGGCCAGCTGCCCTGCGGGCCGTGCCCCAGGTGGGTTGGGAGGACTGGTGGCTACGAGGTGCTCGGGCCCCTGCTGCCTGATCCGCAGCCGTCTACTAGGCTGGCAGATTGGTGTCTCCCCAGGAGCCCCAGCAGCTGGACCAATGGGGAACCTCCCAGGCGGCCTGGGGGCTTCCATGCCTGCCGAGGGCTTTGCCGAGGGCTTTGCCCATGGCAACCTCTTGGGACCAGATGGTCCTCCCGCTACCGCGTTGCTCAGGAAGCATGGCGGGCGGGGACTTCAGAGATGCTGGGGCAGGGAAGAGGGCCCCTGGAGTCCTTGTCACATGAATGTTCACGGGAATGAATCTTAGTTCCCCCTCACAGGTTGATGGAGTTTGTCAGGTGCTCAGGGAACCTCTTGTGACAACCCGTTCCTGCCCTTTGATGAGGCCATAGGAGTCTTTCAGACAGCAGCACAGAGAACTGATTTATTTTCGGGTGCAGTCAATAAATAATTCTCCCGATCCCCCCCGACACCAGCCCCACCGGGGCTGCGGGTGCAGGAGGCCACGGCACTGCCTGGGCAGCAGCTCCGGGCCGGCTCAGTCCCTGCTCCTCATGCGGAGCTGGATCTCCATCCTGAGGAAGGCCCTGAGGTTCTCGTCGGCCACGTGCTCCTGCAGGGCGGCCAGGGCCCGCTGCCCGCCGTCCTGGTAGTGCCGCAGCAGCGCGTCCGCGTAGTCCACCCACACGCAGTTGGGGCAGCCGCTCATGCAGCAGTTCGTGGGGGGCTGCAGCTCCGGCGGGGAGGGGTATGGGGCTTCCGAAGCGTCCTTGCCGGGCGGGGAGGACTCGGGGTGCCTCGTGGCATCTGCCGCTGTTTGGGAGCCCTCGTCCCCATGGTCCTTCCCGAACTCTCTGCGGCCTTCCCAGACTGGGGTCCCGCTGCGGTGCCGGTGGGGAGCGCTGCCGCCTCCGGGAAGCCGGTGGCACCAGTCCCCGCTGGAGCGTCGGCCGGGCCCCTAAGAACGCAGACAAGCCTCGTGAGTCTCCAGGAAGCTGGCGAGGCCTCGCCTGCCCCCAGCTCCAGGGGAGCTCCGGCCTCCTGGCAGTGGCTTCCTCACTCCCTGTGTGACCTCAGACAAGGTGCGCCGCCTCTAGACCCGGTCTCCACCTGTTAGATGGATGTGCCAGCTGGCATGAGGCCGACAGGGCACGACCTCCAGCCGGGCTGGGTCCAGGGCCTGGCACTGGGCGCGCACGGCAGCGGATGGGGGCGCGGGCTGGGGGGGGAAGCTGGGTGCCTCCAGCTAAGACGACTCTGCTCCACGGAGGACAGGAACGGGGGTGGGGGTGGAAGTCCCCTCTCCCTCTCCAGCCAGTACAGACTGCCCGTCCCCTCTGCCCATCTGACCAATCGCATTGTTAGGCAGGATGGACAGCAGACCGAGGCTGGGAGGAGGAGGAGGGAGGCACCCCTCCATTGGTAACTCAGCAGTCCTGGGCCCGGTCCATCAATACTGCCAGGTGTCGCGAACCCCACCAGGAACGCTGTTAGCACGGGAGGAGGGAGCCCTTGAATTCTATGTATGGTCTCCACTGGCTGGGGAAGAAAGCCTCAGAAACTGTGCCTGCATCCCAAGGTCAAGAAGCTGGGAGGGAAGGGGTCCACAGTGCTCAAAGAAAAAAACCCATACATAACTTTGATTAATTGTCCGCCTCTGGTCACTATCTGTTTTACAAGGGAGTCCCTGATGCTAACAGACAGGGCCATAAATAACCTTAGGCAACTGCCCCCGCCCATACCTGCGTTTGTGTTGTCCTGTCCCCTGGTGGAAGCGGACACCACCTTCACCCGTCCATCAATACGTAACTTCTTCATTCCCCTCCCTCCACCTATAGGAGTTCTACTCTTGCCGCCCTTACCTTGCCCTGCCCTGAACCTATGCCTTTCACCCCACCCTCCGCAAGGCCCATTCGCTTTACCACTGATAAACCTTGCTGGCGCGCTAATACACCTGCTGATCTGTAATTCTCTACTGCGTGGGCGAGAAGACCCGAGTTTCTCCCCTAACAGGCATCTCTCCCCCCATAGTCCCGGTTCCCCTGCCACAGGAGAAGCCCAGGCCGCCCAGGTCATCCCCGAAGGCCTGTGCGCAGCCCTCCCTGCAGCTCCAGCTCCAGCCCCAGCCTAGCTCCGGAGCCCCCTTCCCGGCTCCGCGTGTCTCCAGGGCACCGAACCTGCCGGGCTCAGCCCAAACCTTACGTACTTCCCTAACTCCTGCGCGGAGCATCAGCTCCTGCTCACGGCGGCGTCCCCAAAGGGCCCGCATACGGCGGACGCTCCGGGGGTATTACCGGTGAACGAGCTCAGAACCGGCGGGCACTCTCCCCGGGCTCGGTCCAGCGGCAGAACCCCTTCTCGCAGGCCCTTGCGCTGCCCGCCGGAGGCGCGAGCCCAGGCCTGTCCCGGACCCCGGACGAGTCCCCGCGACCCCACCGCGTCCGCCACCGCAGGCACTTACAGAGCAGAGGACAACTGCTGCCACCGCCCGGCCTCCGGCAGCTACGCGCCCCAGCACCATCGCCCGCGGCCCGGCCCACGGCGCACGCGCGCCCCCGCCTCCGGGCCGTGAGTGGCGGCCCCCTGGACCAATCGGGGCTCGGCTGGGAGATGCACCACCCCAATGAGCACAGAGCTGAGAGCGAAGGAGCGGAAGTGGCGGTGGTGGGGCGGGACCGTGCACAAGAAGGGAAGTAGCATCTCCCGGGACGGCGGCGCGTGCGGATGGCGCGAGCGGGACGCCGAGCGGCGGTCCCCGCGGGGACAGCGGGGCCTGGGGGCCCGGGGCGGCCGCAAGGGCGACGGCAGCAGCCGCCGCAGGGGAAGCAGCGCTCGGCGCCGTGGCCCAGGCCGCGCAGGTGGGTCTCACCGCCCTGAAGTCTGCCCGTGCCTCTCCCCCGGCCGGGGCGCTCGTCCTGCCCTGTCCGTGCCTTTGGCGTGCAGGAGGGTCAGCGGGCGAGCGGAGGCGCGACGGAACGTCTCTGGCGTGGCCCTTGCCACCATGCAGGGTGCCATCTCTGCCACCATGGACAAGGTCAGGGAGCGACAGCCCCCCGGGGCGCTCGGCGCGTTCTGCGAGACCCCAGTTCAGGGACAGCCTCCGGACGACGATGCCGCCTCGGCCGGCGTGCCCCTCCGCAGCCAGGGTGGCCTGCGGAGCTTTTCCCAGGCCCAGCTCCGGTTGCTCTGACTCCGCTTCTGCTGGACTCGGGACGCGTCTCACTCCCGTGTCCTCCTCCTTAGCCAAGAGAAGAAGAAAGTGAACTGCAAGCCCAAGAACCAGGATGAACAGGAAATCCCTTTCCGGCTCCGGGAGATTATGAAGAGCCGCCAGGAAATGAAAAACCCTGTCAGTAACAAGAAGAGAAAGAAAGAGGGTAAGGTGCGGGCTCACGTGGGTGACAGTAAAGGTTAATCACGCAGGTATCCAATGGCGTGTCAGTGGTCCGAGGGTGGGGGAGGACGGACCCAAGGCCCGCGAGTCCAGGGCCACAGCAGCTGCGGGGGGCAGTGCGGTTTCAGATGAGGCTCCAAGGGAGCCCGGGCCCGGTGCAGGGAGCACCGATTCCCCGGGAGCAGTGGAGATGCGATGGAGCGGACCATGGGTGCGGGTGCAGATTCATTTGCTTGGAGGAAAGGTCACCGTATAACAGGCGGGGGAGGCTCCTGCAAGTGAGACGGTGGCGGCAGAGGGAAGTGGGCGGTGCCTGGGGGTTAAGGGGGGAACTGATGAGGCTCACTCTGACAAACTGACCGTCCCCACCCCTCCCCAAGGCCAGGTGGGCCACCCCTCAGCTTCTGCCAGAGACGACATTAGGGCACGCTGGGGAACGCAGTCCGGCGCGGTTCTGTTCTGCGTGGACACGTATTTGTTTTCTCAGACGCGGGGCTGGTTTTACAGCGCTGGTGTTCGGCGACTCCGTCGAAACCCCAGGCCCTTCGCTGGGGTTACGCGGCTACCAGGGGAGAGGGAAATAAGCGGGCAAGAAGGGCGGGGAGGGAGGGGGAGCGCTGGCCTGGGGGGAGACAGCACGCAGGAGCCGGGCTTGTTGAAGGAGCCCTTTTTCTGGTTAGGTTCTTTTTAAAAGGTACTCGCTCATGCGCAGGGAATGGGAAAGGTAGGAGGGGCGGTGCAGCCTCCCTGCCCCGGAAAGAAACCACCATGTACCTTCCCTGTGTTCCTCCCACACGCGCAGAGAAAGCTGCACGTTTCCCAGTCCACGCGACGAGAAAGCTGTGCCGTCGACACCTTTAGTGTCCAGGGTTTTTGCTTACAGGGAGCCGTACAGGTCTGTCCACATCCCTGGGGGGCGCCGCTGTGCGCCCTCTCTCCGCCTGGGCAGTGCGTCTGTGTGTCAACGCGGGACTCGCTCAGCGGTCACCCACCGGCGGACACTGAGCTTGTTTCCTGTGTCAGCTGAGCTGCAGTGACAACCTCCACACGTCCCCGAGGGCTGTGGGGACCCTGTTGCTGTGGGTGTCCCAAGACGGGCACCTCAGAGTCCCTCAGCCACTGTGGTTGGCTGCTCCCTCTTGAGCCCGGCCTTCCGTCCTGTGGCCCTGAGAGGGGGTGACTGTGGGACAGCTGCGGGCCACCCCTCCCTCCTGCCCCTCAGGCCCTGTACCCCATCTCCCTTTGTCCTCAGCCCAGGCGGCCTTCAGAAGGACGCTGGAGAAGGAGGCGCAGGGCGCGGACCCGGAGATCGCGGTCCCCAAGTTCCAGCAGAGGAAGGGGGAGTCCGACGGCGCCTACGTCCAGCGCATGGAGCAGGAGGCCCAGCACGTGCTCTTCCTCAGCAAGAACCGGGCGGCCCAGCGGCCCGAGGTGCAGGCAGCTCCCAAGGAGAAGTCGGAGCGGAAGAAAGCGTGAGTGGGGGCTCGGGGGCTGGGGTCCCCGACTGTCTCTGCAGTTACAGTGTTTTGTCCCCTCAGAGGCTCCGGGGGGCTCTGACCCGCGACTCTCGGAGGGCCTAGCCTTGTCAGTGCGTTTTCCTGGAAAATCATCCAGGGGTCCAAGCGCCAGGGCAGGTCGGGGCCGGCTGCCCAGCCCGGGCTGGCGGCTGTAGGGCGTGGAGACAGGGTGAGGCCCTGTCCCCCCGGGAGGGCTTGCTGCCCGGGGACATGCCTGCCCCGTGGAAAGCAGGACTGGTGCTCGGGTGGGGGTCCGGATGAGCCTGACACGCAGCCCTGGGCTCCCCTTCTGGTTGGCAGATGCCACCTTCTCTCCCTGGGTGTGGACTGGGGTCCTGTTCCCAGTGTCACCTTTCTTGTCCGGAGATTGGGGAGCCCTCAGCAGGGACCCGTGGGCCTGGGCTCCGCATTGGCGAAGAGGAGGCGTGGCGTCGCCCTCTCCCAGCTGTTGGCCAGCTGTTGGCCAGCTGGGTCCGCAGCCCTGTCTGGTGGATAGCTGTGGGGCGGTGGCAGGACCGGGGACAGGGCTGCAACCGCCTGGGCCCTGCCTGAGGTGGGGTGACCTCCGCTGCCTCCTGAGCCCGGTGCAGCGGGAGCTGGGAATCTGAAGGGCCCTGGGCTTTCCTCCCCAGGTTCCAGAGGCGGCGGCTGGACAAAGTCCGGCAGAGAAGAGAGGAAAAGGCGGCGGAGAGGCTGGAGCAGGAGCTGCTCCGAGGTGGCTCCCTGAGGGGACCGGGTCAGCCCTGGGTGGGGGTCGAGGGCCAGTGGCACCTCTGTCCCCTCCTGGTCAGTGGACGGGCAGACGGTGGCTCAGGAGCTGGGACTGTGGTGGTGTGTGGGCAGCGGGCCTCAGACACGCCCCTTTGCCCCTCCAGACACGGTGAAGTTCGGCGAGGTCGCCCTGCAGCCCCCCGAGCTGACCGCCAAGCCCAGGACGAGCGTGAGCATGGGCCAGGTGAGCAGGGCTGGGGACCTCCCTGTCTGTCTCCAGTAAGTGTGATTCTCCCTGGGCTCAGCAGCTCCCGACTGGGCTCTGTGCCTTCTGCCCGCCCCTGAACCTGCACTGCACCTCGCGTCTCTGGTCCACAGCCCGGCAGGAAGTCACTGATCCTGGGGGCGCTCCTGAGCCCCGGCGGTGCGCCCCAGCCCCCGGCCTCCTCCATGGCCAGGCAGCGGATCGTGGCGGAGGAGAGAGCTCGGGCCGTGCAGGCCTACAGGGCGATGAGGACGCTGCAGCAGCAGCGGCGGCGGGAGGCCCGGTCAGCCCGCTGCCCACCCAAGAAGCAGCCAGGGACTGGCCTGTGATGGTGGGAGACCCAGGCTGCCGCGCTGGGTCGGCGGAACGGGCAGGGGGCCCAGAGATCAGAGCCCTTTCCCTGGACACAGCCTGGGACCCAGAGCCCAGTGCACCGGCTCCCACGTTCCGGAAGGGGCTCCAGTGTCCGCTGTCCTTTCTTCCTCCCTGGACACTACTTTGCTGAGTGACCATCACCAGGCCCGTGTCTCCTGCTGGACACCATCTGCCCTGAGCCCCTGTCAGTGGGGCCAGCGCCTGGGGGAGACAGCCAGCCACACCGTGTCACTCCCATGAGCCTGGTATCGCCCCCACCCCTGTCCCGAACACGGGGGTCCAGGCTGAGATGGACTCGGGCCCACCCCATCATCCTGCCCCTGACTGCCGATTAACCGTAGACACTGTGGACTTGGGCGGCGCCAGTCCGTCATGTTCGTCACGGGCTCCCCTGGAGTCCATGGAGTGCCACCGCTGAGTCTCCTCGGGGAGACGTCTTCGGAGGGGGGCTGCCCTGGCTGAGTGGGGGTCGCCTGCAGTGGCCACTAAGGCTGGTGTGTGAACTCAGGGGATTTTACCATAAACCCCAACAAACCCCAGGGGCTGGTTGTTTGTTTTTGGAGACTCATGGTTAGTGAGAGTGGCCCGATATCTGGCCAGTGAAGATACTGGTCTTCTGACACGGGTCTAAGCGTCAGATTGACAGTGTTCCCGCACGAGGTGCGCCCTCCAATTCTGTGAGGGGCCCCTGTCCCTCCCGGTGGGGGTGCAGCGCTGAGCCGGAACCACAAGCTGGGTTCGAGGCGCTCGCTGACGCGGGGGTGTCATTGCTTCCAGGCCCCCCTTCTGCAGACGGGCCTTGGAAACACAGAAAACAAAACAAGTGTACCTTCAGGTATGAGTTTGTATTGTTGTGGGGGGGGGGGTGCTATTAAAGTTTAATTGGTTTTCTTCTGTTCACATCCTTTACCCTGAAAACGCCTCACAGATATAATAGTTCACCCTGCAACACACACACACACACACACAGTGGGTCTGCTGTGAAGAGTGCGGACACAGTGTAGGGCGAAGCTGAGGGCTTCAGTTCAACAAAAGCTGGCGGACCTGCTGCTGGGCTCCGATGGCACCTCAGGAGGTTCCTTCTTCGTTTTCAGTTGCTGTTTTTATTTTGTTGATTCAATTCACTTTTTGAGTATGTAGAACATGGTGTCCACGATTCAGAAGTAAAGAGGGGGGCCTCCAGCCTGCGGGTGCCCCAAGGCCCAGCCCCAGAGCTCACACCGTGCTCCCCCTTTTGCTGGGGTTCTTACCCCTCAGCTAGAGAACCGATGAGTGACAGCTTAGAGGCCCTTTGAACACTTCATGATTTTAACCGGGCTTTGCTCAAATCCCGAAGCCGGGGGTCTGAAAGCTAGGAGGGCCCCACCTCCAGGTGGAGGTCATTCTCGTGGACGGCTGCTCAGCGGCGTACTCAGGAATGATCTCTCGGGGCGAGTCTCATGGGGGGGGGGGGTGCCAGGCTGTGGGCGGTGAAGGGCCAGAGGCGCCGCGAGGCCCGACGCGGCCAACCACACTCGGGCAGTTCGCTCCCTGCACAGTAGAGTGGGTTGGAGAGTGGCCCCCAAAAGATCCGTCCAAGCTGTAACCGCCAGAACGTGCAAATGCGACCTTTTTTGGAGACGGCCTTTGCCGAGGTAATCACAGACCTCGGGGGCACCCTGGATTTGGGGCGGGGCCTAAGTCCAACGGCAGGTGTCCTCAGGAGAAGGCCGTGTGCGAGGACAGAGGTGGAGATGCACGTTCAGCCAGCCCCGGGCCAAGGACCCCCAAATTACCACCACCACTAGGAGCTGGGGGACAGGCCGGGGACGGTCCTCCCTCGGGGCCTCCAGGAGCAGGGCCCAACCCTGCGGACACCCCAGTCGCAACGCCTGGACTTCAGACTTCTGGCCTCCAGAGCCGTGATCAGAAACTTGGGTTGTTTTAAGTCGGTTTGTGGTCCTTTGCTGTGGGTGCCCTGGGACGCGCCCACCCGTCAACAGTCCTCCTGCCGGCTCCCTCAGCCGCAGTGGAGACACATGGGGAGCGGCTGAGGACTCTGGCCCGGAGAGTCTGGCACCGGCCTGCCGGCCCCTGGGCCCCATCGGAGCCCCCCTGCCCTCCAGGCTCCCCTGGGAGGGCCAGCGCTCCGGGGGGCGGTCCTGCTCTCCCGGCCCCGGACGGTCTTCATCCCAGCGTCAGCTGTCAGGAGTGTTCATAACCCAGGTGCCTCGGTCTACCCATCACCGCAGCCCGGCACACAGAAGCCCGCCGTCTTGGCTTACGCCGGGTCAGCTGTCTTCCTGAGGGCCGTCCTCTGCCTCCTCCCCACGGAGCGGTCCGGCTACTCCCCACCTGGGGGTCACCTGCCGGTTCTGTGGGTGTCCTGGAGCCAGCGCAGCACCCCTGTCAGGCCAGTGCCGGTCCGGGCGCTGACCTCTGCCACAGTGATGTTCTGCTTGGCACAGGCGATGATGTCTGGGAGCCTGATCAACGACTTCATCTCCTCCACGGTCATGTAACAGGGCAGGTCGCTGGGGCAAAGGGCAAAAGGGCACTTTGTCAAAGGGGGCCCGACAGGCCCACTCCAACCCCGCCACCCCCTCCCCGAGGAGCCACCCTCCCGGCTACACTCCACAGAGCTTCTCTGCGGGCGCCCTCTGCACCCCCCTCCGCTCGAGCACCCGTACGTTTTATTGAAGAGCACCAGGACGGCTGCTCCCGCGAGCGGCTCTGCGGAGAGGAGGCCCAGGAGCTGCACGCAGGACGCAGAGAGCTGGGTGGGGTTGGAGGCGTCCACCACAAACTGGGAGGAAGGGAAAGAAGTTCAGGGCCGCTCTGATGGAGGTGACCCTTGCGAACCTCCTCCCTGGGCATCACAGGCCTAGCTCAGAAAAGGGCAAAAGGAGCCGGAACGAAGGACCTGGGACAGGCAGAGGCGGGAGGAAACGGGGTGTGCGGGCGCGACCAGGTGTCCGTTGTTGCTGCCCACACAGAAGACTCTCCTCACACGGCCCTCAGCTCTCCCAGGAAGGGCCCCAAAACTTGGGCACAGGCCGTGCCAGGGCGAGACAAACCCAGGGAGGTAGGGTTGGAGCATAATCAGTAACACACCCATGGCCACAAAGGAGAGGGCGGGCACCAGGCTGGGACCCGCAGTCACCAGCGCTGCCCTCTGAGAGCCTCCCCGAGCTCTCGACCAGGCTGGGTCCCCAGAAGGAAGCGGCAGCAGTGGCCCCGCTCCCTTGGCTCGTAGTCGCCCGGAAACCCACACTCCACCCTGTGCACAGTGAGGCTGGGGACTAGACAATCTTCCCTAAACGAGTTGAAAGAGGACAACTCACCAGGAGACAACGGCAGTTTCCATAGTAACTGGGCCAGATGGGGCCCATGCACCCGCCCAGCTCCCGGATGGTGATCCTTCTGTGGGCCATGAGGTCCGTGAGGTCGGTGCCCACCTGGGGGGAAACACATGCGGCGGAGGCCACCACGAGCTCTTCGCCATTAGGACTCCTGAAGGGCCCCTGCCCGGCCCTTCCCGCTGCGGCCTAACCCCCAACGGGCCATTTCCTCAAGGGCTTAGGCCCTAAAGCAGGACCCGTGGACCCTACCCCTCCTGGCTGGCTGTGGCAGAGAATCAACGCCCACCAGTGGGATTCGCCTGTGGGGCGACCAGCGACAGGGACCCAAACAGTGTGTGAAGCGGGGGCGCGGATCCGCTGCCCTGCACCCCCACCTCCACCGCAGCTGCGTCCCAGGGGGACCAGCTCCTTCCGGGACGCCCCACTCGCTCCCCCCGGGTTTCATCTAACGCACCCGCCAGCTGGGTTCCAGTTCCAGCTTCACAACCCAAACCGCTTTGCAAACCGAAAGAGGGGCCGCTTCCACCTAACCCGCGGAAAGGGGCCGCCTACCGTGGGCCGCGTCGGGGGAGGGTCGCCCAGGTCGCCCTTCCCATCCTGCGAGCTCAGCTGTGCGCGGCGGTCAAGGACCCCAAGCGGGGCGGAGGAGGGCGGCTGGCGTCCAGATCCCGCCCCGGGTCTCCCCGGAGCCCCACAAGCTCCCACTACAGCCCCCAAGGGGACCCCGCCCCCGACCGCCCCACGAGCGTCCCGCGTCCCCAACAACCGCACCCCGGCCTGCCACCCCCAGGTGCCCCCCGTCTCTCCAGTCCCCCTCGCCCGGCGCTGAAGGATAGTCTGCAGTCGTTTCACCAGCAGCGACTTGCCCACGCCGGTAGCCCCCAAAAGGAGACACATCCTAAACCGTAGCGCCGCTCGGCACCCGTAGCTCCGCCCCGCGAGACTCAAGGCCCGCCCTTCACCCCGCTCTCATTGGATGAGACTGGCCCCCGGGATGCTCATTGGTTTTTGGTGCTCACCTGTCAGCAGACGAGACCCAATCGGCGCACAGCGTGAGGCGAGCGGAAAGCCACCCTCCTAGAGACTCCAAGTGGGACCGGGCGTGCGCGTGACCGCCGGGAAGGCGGAAGCGGAAGTCGGGGGCGCGCCTCCTCGCGGAGAAGGAGGCCGCGGCGTCGGGTCCGGCTGGGGTCGCCATGGGGCGCGGTAGCGGCACCTTCGAGCGTCTCCTAGGTAACGCGACCCCCGCCCCTCGCGGCCCACCCGCGGTCCTGGAGCGGAGCGGAATGTCCGCCGCGCGGCGTGAGCCCTGGGTGGGCGCGCCGCGAGCGGGTCTCGGGAGTGCGGGCGCGGGCGCTGGCCGGGGCGGGCGAGGGGTTCACAGATGAGCCGGGCCTGGATCCCGCAGGTCCCCGGGAACCGACCACGGGCGTCTGCCGTGGCCGACCCAAAGTCCTGAGTCACTAAGATGGGGGACTCGATCGAATAGTAAAACCTCTTGAAATAATCCCCCCCCCAAAAAAAAAAACACCCCGCCTGGGTTGCCTGGGGTTTGGGGCTTGTGACATCTCCCCGGGACCTGCCACGCGCTTTCGAGGACTGCGACCCTGAGGACCAGAACGATGCGGCCTGTCCCCACCTGCCGGGGGAAGCGCCCCGTGGTTCAGGAAGGCGTTTCCTCCAGCTGTCAGAGCCTGTGGCTGATCCTTTCTGAGCCTCCTGGGGGCCGCGGGTTTTAGGAAGGAAAAGGAATGTTTCTGGGCACGTGTCCTGCCCTCCAGGGAAGCAGCGGGAGCCGTCTGGGACAGACGCTCTGGCTACTCCGGTCCACCCCCGTTTTTTTCTTGAGTGTATCTTGGGAGGAGACCGCAGATGGGACGTCATTCTTGCTCTTGGAAGGTGCGGGCCGAGGGACTCAGCCACCAGGGGTGATTCAGCCTCTCTGGGGTGGATCCAGAAGCCAGTCACCTCCGGGTCATCGCTGGCGGCGGACCGGCCTCTGGGGTTGTTGGTGGTGCGCAGGGAGGTCTGCACCGGCAGGCCTGGGGCTGCCGCACCGCACAGCCCGTCTGCCTGAGGCAGCTATGAGGGACAGCCCGGTGTCAGGGGGTCAGCCCTGTGGGGCCACCCAGGACACTCGAAGCAGAGGACAGGGGCCCTTGTCCCAGTGGAAACCTCACCAGCTGGGTCATACTTCCGGAAAGCAGGGACTCCGGGGGATGAGGTGGCGGATTCTGTCCAGAAGCAGCCAGCGCGGCGCGGAATCCTGGCCGTCCCCAGCGAGCCATGTGGCTCCGGGCAGTGACGGTGTCTCACCCGCAGCGGGGTGAGCCGGGAAGCAGGGCCTGGGCCCGTGAGGCTGCGTGGGGAGCGAGTTCCCAGAGGGCCTGTGGGAGCCCGCCCGAGGGCAACAGGCTTTCCCTGTAGTTGCTTCCCGTCTGTTTGCCTGTTAGCTCAGGACTGTGGTCGGTCGGTCGGTCCCTGGTTCCCACTGCATCAGGCAGGTCTTCCTGGGCTTCTCCTGGGGTCCAAACGTTTAAAATTAGAAGGAGGCGGTCCCTCCTGCTGCTGAGCTGGGAGCCCTCTGGGGAATCGGCAGGGTGAGCCCCCACAATGGCGCGTTTCTGTTCCAGACAAAGCGACCAGCCAGCTGCTGCTGGAGACCGACTGGGAGTCCATCCTGCAGATCTGTGACCTGATCCGCCAGGGGGACACGCAGTGAGTGGGGGGACGCTCGTGCCCAGTGACCCCCCCCCAGGGCCCGAGGCCTAGGGGAGCTGTGTGGCCTTCAGGCTGGGGTTCTCGAGGGCTGGGGACCGACAGAGGGAGCTCCCTGCGCAGCTTGGGGCCAGGCGGCAGCGGGGCCGCGTCTTGGTTCCCGGGACCGTTTTCTCTTCCCCTGTCTCCGCTCCTGCCAATGCCCTTTCCTTTCAGGGCCAAGTATGCTGTGAGCTCCATCAAGAAGAAGGTCAACGACAAGAACCCCCATGTGGCCTTGTACGCGCTGGAGGTGACTAGAGCCCTGCACTCCCACCCTCACAAGGGTCCCCCTGCCCAGCGGTCAGGACGACAGAGCGGAGGGGCCCCCGCAGCCTTGCCCCCTCGCCTGCACACAGCCGACAGCATGGGCACCGAGCGTGAGGGCGGGCGTGAGCGGCCCTGATGGAGCTGGGGTGGGGGCTGGGCCTCCGCTGCTCCCCCCGGGGCTGACACTTAGGGCGGGGAGCGTGACTCTGGTCTCTGTCCTTGGGGACGACTGATGGAGTTAGGAGGAGCCTGGGCAGTGCTGGCAGCCGCCTGCCTCAGGCGGCCGTGGGGTCCAGAAGGGCCCCTGCCCCGACCAAGGGCCCACCCCTGCCCCCCCCCGTGGCCCCCGCAGGTCATGGAGTCCGTGGTGAAGAACTGCGGCCAGACGGTCCACGACGAGGTGGCCAACAAGCAGACCATGGAGGAGCTGAAGGAGCTGCTGAAGGTGGGCGCCTCCTGCTGGGGGCGGTGGGTCTAGACGCTGAGGAGGGGCGCCGCCGCCCTGCCGCCAGGCCTCCGCTCTCCTGGGTCTTTGCGGCAGGAACACGGGGCCAGGCGGGCAAGCGTCAGCAGCCCCTGCGTCACGCCAGCCCCAGCCTGGTGACACCTGCGCGCAGGAGCCCCTCGCTTCCTCCCGGGTGGGGGGGAGGCTTCCCGGGCGCGGGGCTGGGAGCCGAGCCTCGAGAGGCAGGGCACACTCACTGAGTGGCGGGGGAGGTGGCGGAAGGAACCGTGTGTGTGAGCAGCGCCCTGGGGAGCCCCGGGGCAGCTGGGCGGGCGCGATCGGCGGGGAGGCTTGGAGTGGTAGGCACGGGAGCCCGGCGTGTTTGTGGAGGGGGCGCTGGGGAGGCGCTGGGGATCCGGATTCGTGCCCTTCTCGGGCTGAAGAGTGAGAGTCCTTCTGAGCCCCAGACGTTGTCCCGAGCCGCCCCTGCCTGTGGCCGCCGGGGCGGGCTCTGCCCCCTGAGGGGATTGTGACGTGGGCGGTGACACCGGGGGGGGGGGTGTGATGCGGAGCCGGGTGGGGCGGCCCTTCTCTGAGGAGGAAGGGCACCCCCTGCACGTGAGGCTGCTGGGGTGGCCCTGGAGCAGCGAAGCCCTGGGCACCGTCTTGCCGGCTCCAGTGGGTCAGGCCGCCGCGTACTGGTCCTGTCCCCCGTGGGCTCACGGGGCCGAGGGCCCATCTGGGACCCGGGCTGGCAGCCAGCCGCTCCGAGGCCCGCTGTGGCCATGGCCAGCCCTGCTGTGGCCTGTCGGGAGGAGTGGGAGGGGCTAGAAGCCGCCCTCCCCCTGCACGGGCAGGCGGCCCCGTTGCGCCCCGCACGGTCCACAGCGGGCAGTCCCCCTCGGAGACGGGTGGGGGGGCCACCGACTGGGCACAGGCCGCAGGGAGGCCCCGGAAGCCCTGCACTGAGCCGTGGCTGGCGTCTCCGTCAGGCAGCTTCCCTGTCCTGCCGTCCTGCCGCGGCCGAGTGCAGATGGCACCCGAGGGTGGTGGGCTGTGCTCCGAGCTGGTGGAAATGGCGGCTCTGTATAGAAGGACACCCCCGGAGTGGCTGTGACCGGACCCAGGGGGCCGGTGTTAGGCAGAGCACAGACTGAGGGGCTCCCAGCTGGTCAGGGGTGTGCCGGGATCGGGGCTTGGAGAGCTTTTGCCTCGGGCCCTGGCTTCTCCTGGGGGTCACAGGGAGGCCCCAGGGGGCAGATGGCGGCAAGGGGCTTGTGCTTGGGGGCCGGGAGGAGAGTGGTACAAGGCCCCGCCCCGCCCAGGGGACACCCCTCACCTCCGCCCGGAGTAGCGGTGTCTCCCCAGCCACTGGTCGGGCCGAGAAGCCCTGCGGTGCCCGCTGCCCCTGCGACCGCTCACGGCTACCCCCCCCCCGCCCCCGCAGAGGCAGGTGGAGGCCAGCGTCCGGAACAAGGTCCTGCACCTGATCCAGGCCTGGGCGCACGCCTTCCGGAACGAGCCCAAGTACAAGGTGGTCCAGGACACCTACCAGATCATGAAGGTGGAGGGTGAGTCGGGCCTGGGGCGCCGCCCGCAGCGGGCGGGACCAGGGGGGCTGTGTGGGGGCTGTGTTCGCGCTGGGTGGGTGGGCCCGGCACCTCGTCGAGTGATGATGGGGCTCGTGGGGTGGGCACCCCAGGGCGGCACCCGGGGCGGCCCGTGAGTGCAGTGTGAGCGGGGCCGAGTCTGCGGGCTGGGGGGTGGGCAGGGTTGTGCGGAGGGGGTGTGGCAAGGGCCCTACCCACATTCGTGGGCTGGCCCGGGGCCCTGGACAGTGGACACCGGACCCGGTTTCGGGCTCACATTCACTCTCCCGCGAAAGCGTGTCTGAAGCGTGTAGGGTTCCCAAGGGGTCTGTGCCTCCACGAGAATTTGGGGACCCCCAACTTTGAGGGCGCTCGGCCAGGAGCCGGACAGGAGACCCAGGGGATACCTGGGCGGCCTTGGCGTGGTGGGAGCCAGGCCTGGGTGAGGGGTGGCCCGCCTGCTGTGCCTCCTGGAGGTCTGGGGGGTCCTGGGGGGGAGGTCTGGTGCTGAGACCTGCAGGTGTCAGGGCAGACCGGCCAGGACGGGTGCCCTGTGGGGGCCTCGCACCCCGGGGCGGCCCCGAAGCCACCGCAGCCTCCTCTCCCCAGGGCACGTCTTCCCGGAGTTCAAGGAGAGCGACGCCATGTTTGCTGCGGAGAGAGTGAGTGGGGGGCGGGGGCGGGGGTGGGGGCGGGGCTGCTCTGGGGGAGCTGGAGGAGGCTGGGGCCGAGGGCGGGTGCTGGTCACCTCGCAAAGGGGACGTCCGGTGTGGCTGAGCAGGGCAAGAGGCGGAGACAGGAGCACAGTCCAGGGCGCCCTTTGCCTCGTGGGGTTAAGGGAGCACTGACCTGCCCCTGAGGCCGCGGCCTCTCGCTCCGAGCCCCCGAGAGAGAGAGCAGTGCTGGGGAGGGGGCTGCTTCCTTGCGCCTGCAGTGCCTGGGCCTGGCCTCTGGGGGCGCTGGGGAGCGACACTGCGGGGCCCTGACTCTGCTGTCCCCCAGGCCCCCGACTGGGTGGACGCCGAGGAGTGCCACCGGTGCCGGGTGCAGTTCGGGGTGGTGACCCGCAAGGTGAGTGTGCCCGCGGGGGGCCTGGGGGACACGCCACCATCACAGCCACGCATCCTGGCTGTGGTCTGGGGGCGGGGAGGGAACCCAGCCCCAGCCGCGGGGCGTCCGTGGCCGCCGAGGGTTTGATGTCTGTGGTCGGTGCTGTCGGGTACAGCTCCCGCTCCCCAGGCGTGGTGGCAGCGGCGGCGTCCGGGTCTGCGGGGCTGGCCTGACCACGCTGGAGGGGTGCGCCGGGCGGGCTGGAGGGAGGGGTCCCGCCGGTCACGCAGCCGCCGCCCCCGCCCGCTGCAGCACCACTGCCGGGCCTGCGGCCAGATCTTCTGCGGCAAGTGCTCCTCGCGCTCCTCCACCATCCCCAAGTTCGGCATCGAGAAGGAGGTGCGCGTGTGCGAGCCCTGCTACGAGCAGCTCAACAAGTGAGTCCGCGCGCTGGGGCGGGGTGAGGGGGGGGTCTCCGCGGCGGCCCCGCCCTGGAGTGGGACCCTCGGGCAGGGGCGGGGCAGGGGCGGGGCAGGGGCAGGGTCTGCGCTGCTGACAGGACCCTGGGGGGGGGGGGGAGCTGTGTCCTCGGCGCAGTGGGCGCAGCGTCGGGGGGGGGCGCCGACCCCACTGTGCAGTGTCTGTGGCCGCTGCACCGGGACGCTCCCTCTCCGTGGGTGGCCACAGCCCAGCCGGGCGCACGTGTGAGCCTGGCTCCCGGGACACAGGGCGGTGGCCCAGGCCGGGAGACGCGCCCGCTAGCCAAGGGCTCCATTGCCCTCCTGCGCGTGGCCCGGGGAGCCCACGGGCGTGCTGCAGGGGAGCCCCAGGCGGCACCCCGGGGAGCTGCGGAGCCGGGCGGCGCTCCTCCTCCAGGGTCCCGTTTCCCCAGGAAAGCGGAAGGCAAGGCCCCCCCCACGACGGAGCTGCCCGCGGAGTACCTGACCAGCCCCCTGTCGCAGCAGTCCCAGGTACGCCTGGCCGCGGGGCTCTCCCCGGCGCCTCTCCCCAGCGCCTCTCCGGGCCCTGCTCACCCAGCCCCTCTGCCCTGCCCGCAGCTGCCCCCCAAGCGGGACGAGACGGCCCTGCAGGAGGAGGAGGAGCTGCAGCTGGCGCTGGCCCTGTCGCAGTCGGAGGCGGAGGAGAAGGAGAGGATGGTGAGCGGGGTGGCGGGGAGACCCGAGGCCTCGCTGCGTCTGTGGGTGCTGGGGGAGCTCGCCCAGGTGCCTGGAGCAGGCGGGCGGGCGGGGGCGGCTCTGCCCGCGGTGCCCCGTGCTCCCCGAGAGACACGCTCCCCGGTCCCTCCCCCCCGCAGAGACAGAAGTCCACGTACACCGCCTACCCCAAGGCGGAGCCCACCCCCGTGGCCTCGTCGGCGCCCCCTGCCAGCAGCCTGTACTCTTCGCCCGTGGTGAGCCCCCAGGGCCCAGCCGCACCGGCTCTCGGCTCCCCGGGCAGGGGACCCCTGTGGAGCGGGGACACCGGAAAGAGTGGGGACCCCACCAGGGAGAGCCCTGCCTCCTTCACGGCCCCGGAGCCCTGGGGCCGGGGCGGCCGCCCCTTCCGACCCTCAGCCGCGGCCAGGACCGCGTCCACTTTCTTGGGAGTCACCCTAGCTTGTCTGACGGGGGGTGGGGACAGCTGTGCCCGGGGGTAGAGAACAGCCCTCCTTCTGCCTGCTGGGGACCCTCTGCACAGCGGACGGGAGGCTGGGTGGTGGAGTCCCGAGGGCCCCCTCACACCAGCCCTGGCCGGACTCCGGGGGCCCCTGCCACTGCCGTGCCGTCAGCCTCCTGAGCAACGGCTGGGAGGAGCTGGGGCGTGTGGCCCGGGACCCCTGAGACTCTCCGTGTCTCCCCAGAACTCGTCGGCACCGCTGGCCGAGGACATGGACCCCGAGGTGAGTTCCTCGCACGCGGTGCTTCTCCCCACTGCCCCCTGGGCCTTGGCTGGGCCTCGGGATGACCTGGCGTCGCCCCCGCAGCTCGCCCGGTACCTGAACCGGAACTACTGGGAGAAGAAGCAGGAGGAGGCGCGGAGGAGCCCCACGCCGTCCGCGCCCGTGCCCCTGGCGGAACCGGCCGCCCACCCGGGGGAGGGGCACGCCGCCCCCGCGAACGCCGTGGAGGTGAGGGGTGCTTGCTCCCTGTGCCTCTGGCGGGTGACCTGGGGGTGGGGGCACGGGGACGGGACGGGCCGGCTCACCCTCGGGTCTCTTCCAGGCGCCCCTCCCGGAGACAGACCCTCAGCCTGCACCTCCCTCCGGCGGCCCCTATAGCGAGGTGAGCCCCCGTCCCCGGCCCGGGCAGCAGCCTGCGGAGTGGGGCGCCAGGGCGCAGGCGGGGCCTGCTGGTGCCTACGGCGCCTGCCTGGGGGGGCGCTCGCCACTCACTGTCTGCCCCGGGCCGACCCTGCCGCCCGGGGCCCCCGGCTCAGTCTGTCCTGAGGCTCCGGGTTTTGTTGGCCACTGGAGAGAGAAGCCAGGGCCACCCCGGCCAGTGTGGCTCTGTGGGCTGGACCTCAAACCGGAAGGTCACCAGTTCAATTCCTGGTCAAGGCCTGGGTTGCGGGCCCGGTCCCTGGCTGGTGGCTGGGAGAGACAGCTGACGAGCGTTTCACTTGTTCGAGTTTGTCTCCCTCTCCCCTCCTTCTCTCCCCCCTCTCTGAACACAAAGAAAGAAAACCTGACAGCAGCAGGCAGGGCCTCCGCAGGGGGGCAGGCCCCGTGTCGCCGCCGGGGGCGGGCCTGCTGCCTCCCCAGGCCGGGGTGTCTGGCCGGGGTCCCCCCCGGGGGACGGGGGCGCCAGGTCAGGGCCGGCGTGGCGGCAGGCCCCCCGCGGGGGAGGCCAGCCCTGACGCGGGGCCCTGCGGCCTGTCCCCGGCGGCAGGTCCAGAACGGGGAGTCGGAGGAGAGCCACGCGCAGTTCCTGAAGGCCCTGCAGAACGCCGTCAGCACCTTCGTCAACCGCATGAAGAGCAACCACGTGCGCGGCCGCAGCATCACCAACGACTCGGCCGTGCTGTCCCTCTTCCAGTCCGTCAACGGCCTGCACCCCCAGCTGCTGGAGCTGCTCAACCAGCTGGACGAGCGCCGGCGTACGTCCCCCCGCCCGCCCGCCTCCTGGTCCCCCCGCCGCCCCCACCGGTGCTGTGGGTGCCCTGGGCCCGGCGTCCCCGGCCGGCGCGGTGTGAGGGCCTCCCCCCTGGCTGGGGTGGTGGGCGGTGGGCGGGTCCCTGGGACGGGGCTGCCCCAGGGGCTGCAGCTGCTAGGTCCCCGGGCAGGTGGTCCTGGTGACGGGAAGTGGCCCACCGAGCACTGGACGGTCAGCTGAAGGGCGAGTCCCCAGCCCCGACGCCCTGTCAGCGAGCCGGGCCTGGGCAGGCACCCCCCCCCCCGCGTGTGTGTGCGTGCGATGCCAAGGCCCCCCTCTGCCCCTGCCCCCCCCCAGTGTACTACGAGGGGCTGCAGGACAAGCTGGCGCAGATCCGCGACGCCCGGGGGGCGCTGAACGCCCTGCGGGAGGAGCACCGGGAGAAGCTGCGCCGGGCGGCCGAGGAGGCCGAGCGGCAGCGCCAGATCCAGCTGGCCCAGAAGCTGGAGATCATGCGGCAGAAGAAGCAGGTGTGGCCGGCGGGCCAGCGGGCAGCAGGGGGCTCCGGGCCCGGCCGGTGCTGGCTGACCTGGCTGACCGACCGCCGCCCTGTGGCCCGCAGGAGTACCTGGAGGTGCAGAGGCAGCTGGCCATCCAGCGCCTGCAGGAGCAGGAGAAGGAGCGGCAGCTGCGCCTGGAGCAGCAGAAGCAGACCATCCAGATGCGGGCCCAGATGCCCGCCTTCGCCCTGCCCTATGCCCAGGCACGCCCCCGCCCGCCCCGTTCCCGCTGGCGCGGCCTGTGGCTGCCAGGGGCCGCCCTGACGGCCCTGTTTGTCCCCAGCTCCAGGCCATGCCCACCGCGGCGGGAGGCGTGCTCTACCAGCCCTCGGGCCCCACAAGCTTCCCGGGGACCTTCAGCCCCGCGGGCTCGGTGGAGGGCTCCCCCATGCACACCGTGTACATGAGCCAGCCGGCGCCCGCCAGCGGCAGCCCCTACCCCAGCGTGCCCGGGGCCGGAGCAGGTAAGGGCAGGCCGCTGTGCTGACCAGCTCGGGTGAGCCTGAGACCGTCACCTTCTCCACGTTTATTTTGGCGAAACAGGTTTACAGACTGGGCTCCCCAAGGGTGAGCACAGTACCACGTTTGCTGCCTGTGGGAAGTGCCCCCTGCCTGCACTGACACCCTCCAGGCCAGGGCCCAGGCCCCCCCCCACCCCCCACTCCATGCTGACCGGCGTTCTGGCCCCAAAATTCACAGGAAGCGGTCTCGGCTGTGGCAGCCCAGGCCACCGCAAGAGGGTGATGTTTGTCCGTTGTCCCGAGTCCGGGTGCTGGTTCCCAAAGCCACCGGCAGCACTGTCCCCTCCCTGCAGTGCCCTCTGCTCAGTGGGAACATAGCTGGGTGTATGCCTTCTTACTCCTGCAGCTCCAGGGGTCCTCCCCTGCCTTGACACCTCACGTGCTTCCCTTGGGTAGGAGTGTGGGCGAGGCAGGAGCTCGGTCCAGCACTCGCAGCACGGGGCATGCTCCCCGACCCCAGGGTCTCAGGCCTGCTCTTCCCCCCCAGACCCCAGCATGGTGAGCGCCTACATGTACCCGGCAGGAGCCACTGGCGCACAGGCCGCACCCCAGGGCCCAGCCGGGCCCAGTGCCAGCCCCGCCTACTCCTCCTACCAGCCCACCCCCACCCAGGGCTATCAGGTAGGTGGTCGAGGCTGCGCCCCCCGCCCTCACCCCTGAGGCCCCTGCACGGTGCCCAGCCCCACACTCCTTCCCTCCACAGAACGTGGCCTCCCAGGCCCCGCAGAGCCTCCCGGCCCTCGCCCAGGCCCCGCAGTCCGGGGGCATGGGCTACATGGGCAGCCCGGCCGTGTCCATGGGCTACCAGCCCTACAGCATGCAGGTGAGGCCCCGCACGCATCCCCTCAGGGTGGTCCCTGGGCAAGAGGCGGCGGGGGGCACTGGGTGGGCCGGGCCCTTCTGGTCCCCACCCCCTCCCAGCCCCCTGGGCTGCCCCTGCTGCTGTTCCCCATCTGCTGGGTCACAGGGCTCCTTTCTCACGGTCGGGGTTGCTGTCATTCCCTGCAGAACCTCATGACCACCCTCCCCAGTCAGGATGCACCCCTGCAGCCCCCTCAGCAGCCCTACATGTCGGGGCAGCAGCCCCTGTACCAGCAGGTGAGCCTCCCCCGTGCTGCCCCTGCGGGCCTGGGCCCTTGGCAGGGGGCTCTCCTGGGAGGAGTGGGCAGTGCCTGGACACGCACAGTGACCTGACTTGGCTGAAATTGCTCAACTTTGTGGGTGTGGCCGGGAACTCCGGGTTGTGGCCCCTGCTGGGGCGTGAAGCCCACAGGCACCCGTGACAGATGGGGGCTCCCTCCAGTGTCCAGGGCTGGGCTCACAGGACAGACTGCCAGGAGCAGGGGTCTCTGGAGAAGCCACTTGGGGTGGGGGTGGGGGCTGGGGGAGGACCAATGGCCCCTGTCCCCCAGATGGCGCCCTCTGGTGGCCCTCCCCAGCAGCCACAGCCCATGGCCCAGCAGCCGCCCGTGCAGGGCCCGCAGGTGCAGGGCAGTGAAGCCCAGCTCATCTCGTTCGACTGACCCGGGGCCAGCCCACCTCCCAGAGTAACACTACGCTCCGAGACCTCCGCCTCCGACTAGCACGTCTCCCCTCCCACTCCTGCCTCTTCCCGCCCTCCCCGTCCCCAAGCTGGTCCATCTCTGACTTCTCTCTCCATGGCTGGGCCTCGGGCACGGGGCAGACCTGAGCATCTCCTCCGACGGAAGCCCCAGCCTGCTGCGTGGGCTCCCCCTGCCCTGGGGGTCTCCCTAGAGCCCTCTAGTGCGACCCTGGCCCCCCGGGGAGGGGTGGGGGCTTGTCCCCAGCTCCTCTGCTTCCGTGCTGGCTTGTCATCTCATCCAGTGCTCCCAGTAGATGGAATGAACAGCGATAATAAAGTCTCTCTAACCAGGACCCAGTGTCTGCTTAGAGAGAAGGCGGCGGGCAACTGCCCTGGCTCTGGATGGGGGTGTGGGGCATCCCTGCAGGCTGGCCTGTCCCCTGCCCAGGCCAGCTCCACTCTCAGGCCCGTCTCCTCCAAGGCTCTCCTCCGAGACAGCACCACGGCGCAGGTCCTGGGGCTGGCCTGCAGGGCCCGGGCTCAGGTCTGACTGTGATGCCAGCTGTAGCCTGGAAGGAAATGTCACTGCAAATGTCAGGCGCTCGGCCCTGAGCATCCAGAGTTCCCAGTGCCACCTTACACACGCAGACCTCGTAGGGGCTACGACGTGAGCTTTTCCGTGAAGGCATGAACGAGTTTAACAGGCACAGAGGCCACCTGGGCTCGGGTCAAAGGCAAGGCCGGAATGACGGCAGGTGCAGGGCAGGGAAGCCCTGCCTTCCCGTCCGCTACAGCGCCGGCTGCTCAGAAATCACCTGTGGCGGCGGGGCTGGCTGGGACAGACTTGCCTGCCCTGCTCTTCCGCAGGCTGCGTGTGAAGAGGGGAGGCTCGGGACCCTTGGGGCGACGCTGGGCGGGCTCAGCGGGACACTCCTCGGCCTGTAGTTTGGGAGCTGGACCAAGAGGCGCGCAGGGCGCGCGTGTCTAGAGACACAGCCGGGACTTACAAACTCGCCATCCCGGGTCCTGGAGGCCCTCCCGCCCAGGTGCCCGTCAGTCGGCCCTTGCCGCCTCAATCCCAACCCCCGGCAAATACGGCGCAGAAGCCGGGCCCAGCTTCCCAGGACGCGCGCTTGGTGCCGCGGAAGGAGGCGGCCTCGCTCTCGGAGCGGCCTGGACCGAAGAATAAAGTGTGGTCCCTCCCGTGCTCTTGCGGGAGAGGCTGCCGTTGTGGCGGCAGGGAGGGCGCCAGGCCGAGGGGCGCGCTCGGTGGCCGCGGTCAGCAGACGCGAGGCTGCGGCAAGGGACCCTGCGCTGGTCTGTACGGGGACCAGGCCCGCCCCGACCTCGGACGGAGCCTGGCGCCAAGCTTCGACCTTCACTGGCCGCCGTTCGCCCCACAGGGAGAGGGCCCGAGTCGGTCACCGAGCGGCCGCAGGGACCGGACCACCGCCGCCTGCCAGGCCGTGCGCCTGCGCGGCCCGCCGCCTTGTGGGTAATCTTGGCGAGCGAGAGGAAACGAGCGCGAAGTGCGGCTAGAGCGTCCTCGCCGGCTCGTGTGCTCGGCGGCCCCGGCGGCTAGAGCGTCCTCGCCGGCGCCTGTTCTCGGCGGCTCTGGCGGCTAGAGCGTCCCTCCCCGCGGGAGCCTCGTGTGACCTTCCCGCCCGCGGAGCGATGCTACCGGCGGCCGCTCGCCCCCTGTGGGGGCCGTGTCTCGGGCTTCGGGGCGCTGCGCTCCGTTTCTTCAGGTACCGCGGGCTGCCGAGGGCCGGGCGGACAGAGTGGGTGCCCTCGGCCGGCCACCGATGGCTCGGGTCGGGGCAGCGGACGAGAGGCCACAGGAACTCGGTGGATCCCAGCGGGGATAGGGGGCGTGGGGACCACCGCGTGCCGAGCCCGTAACCGCGCGGGCCGCGGAGAGCGCCGCGGTGGCCTCAGATGACCTTGGACAGGTTCCGTCCTTGCTCCGGGCCTCAGTTTCCCCCGGAGCCCGGTGGCGCGGTAGGGCTGCCTTCGCTGCAGCCGGCGTCCCGCCCTCCAGGGACCCAAGTTCTGGAAGGCCCTGAGCAGCGAAAGCATGCACCGTGTTGCATTGCCCCCGTGAGCGGCCGCGGTTCATTCAAACCAGGAAGTTAACGTCGTGGGCAGAATTTTGCAACAATAATATGGGTTTCTAAGGGTTTTGAAGAGCGTAGAGTGGACCCTCGAGTCTGAGAACCCTGGGTTGGGGCCAAGGGGCTAGAGCTGAGCTCACCGGCACCTACCTGCCTGCACCGCGGCGCCCACACGTGCGGGGCTGACGGCTTTGTTTGGGGTTTAGGCAACAGGTGCCACGCGTCTGCACCGTGCGTCTGATGAGATGCAGCAGCCATCGAAGGGGCGAGGCCCTCGCCGGTGCACCCCTAGATAACGCCCCCAAGGAGTACCCCCCCAAAATCCAGCAGCTGGTCCAGGACATTGCCAGCCTCACGCTCCTGGAGATCTCGGACCTCAACGAGCTGCTGAAGGTACCGGGGCCAGACCTGGGCAGTGAAATCCGGGGCCCAGGCCTTGTTCCTGGGGCACTTGGTCCATTGCGGAAAGTGCTTCCCGCGTGCAGGGACGGGCCAGCCTTGTCCCTGAGTGTGTCTGGGTGTGACGGCCGGCCTCTGAGACTGCTCTCCTCTGTCCCTGCAGAAAACCTTGAAGATCCAGGATGTGGGGCTCATGCCGATGGGCGGCATGATGCCTGGTCCTGCCACAGCCGCGGTGGCCCCCGAGGTGAGCCCGGGATGTGTCTCCCTAGCACCCAGTGCCCCTGCTCCCTCACGCCAGGTGTCCAGACTCCTCCCGCTGTTCCTATCTCGGTCCTGCGCCGATCAGTGCGCCCTACCTATCTGTGTGCGCCTCTGCCCGCGGCCCTCGTCAGCGCCGCGACCTCCTCCTTGCCAAGAATGTGCGGGCCCCTGCTCCAAACCCTCAGCCGAGGTGTTAGGCATGTGCCCTGACCTGGGATCGAACCCTCAGACTTCTGGGGTACGGGACAGCGCTCCAACCCATTGAGCAACCCGGCCAGGGCAGCAGGCGGCTCTTGAGCAGAGCGGCTGAGGGAGAGGACAAGGCATCCCCTGCACGGGGGTGGCACCCGCCCGTGTGAGGGCCGCGAGGGTGGGCAGGCAAAGGGCAGCCCTCTCCTCCAGGGGACAGTTCGAGTATCTGCGAGGAAACCAGCAGATTGGGAGCCTCACCCTCTTTTTTTTTTTCCGATATTAGTTATCTCAAAAATCGCACTGTTCACAAGCAGGAATAATAACACCTTCACTCCTGTGTCCGTAGCCTAATCTTCAATGCCTTGTCACACTTGCGTCTCCTGCCCTGGAGGCCGGGGCACACCCCTGGCAACACGGGGGCCAGGAGACCCTCGCACGCGGGGCATTGGCAGGGACCTCCCGCCCCAGCCTGCTGAGACCTCAGGAGCTCTGTTGCTCCCTGCTGTCCACTCCTGGCCACTTGGGGAAGGGGGGGCAGAGGCTGGCTGTCACTTTGTCTAGTCCCGGGGCACAGCCTCGGGCTTGGCGGAGGAGGGAGTGGCCCTGCATTTCTGTGACATTACTTGACCCCACGGCACCTTCGTTGTCACTCTGCCTTGTCTCGGGAGCGGCAGTGTTTAAGGGACGAGTGCCGGGCGCTGGGAAGGGAAGCAGGGCCCGAGCAAGCAGCCTCTGCAGAGCTGGGGCGGTTCGGGGTGGCGGCGCCCAGGCTGGCCCAGGAGCAACTCGGGGTGGGGGCCCTGGCCCGGCCTGGCTCCTGTTGGAATCCCAGGCTCTGTGGGGGCCTTGCCTTTGGGGTCACGGGCGGGGCAGCCCAGGAACCGGTGCACCTGCGGCACGGCCTCCCTTCTCACCCGGCGGCCCCCTCCCCCGCCCCCCCAGGTAGAAGAAGAATACGTCCCCAAACAGAAAGAACAGACGCATTTCACCGTCCGCCTGACGGAGGCCAAGCCCGTGGACAAAGTGAAGCTGATCAAGGAGATCAAGAACTACGTGCAGGGCATCAACCTCGTGCAGGTGAGTCCCGGGCTGTGCCCTCCCGGGCCGGGCCTGGCCCAGGGGCCCCGGCCGGGTGTCTGACCGTGCTCTCCGGCAGGCAAAGAAGCTGGTGGAGTCGCTGCCTCAGGAGATCAAGGCGAACGTCGCCAAGGCTGAGGCCGAGAAGATCAAGGCGGCCCTGGAGGCGGTGGGCGGCACCGTGGTCCTGGAGTAGGCCGGCCGGCGCTGCGGACTTGTGCACCGGGGGCCCCGGGCGAGGCCCTGCCTGCCCCGCCAAGCACCCAGGCTCAGCTGACGGCACGCCGGAGTGGAACTCCACCCCGTCACCTCGGGGCAGCCCGGCTCTGGGACAGGCATGGACCTACTGAGACCGGAGGGGGCAGCTGCTGCCTGTGAGCACCGCGGGGAGGACTCTGGAACGTGCCCCCGGTTCCCATGCGCCCCCTGGTGGCTGCTGAGAAAATACACGGTTCCGGCCACACGTGCTGTGTCTGGGTGGTGGGATGGGCGAGGGTCAGCCTGCGATCGGTGGGAGGTTCCGGCAGCACCCGTCCTGCCCGGTGGGTGGCAGCCGCTGCATAGCCAACGCCAGATCTTCACTCGGGAGCCGGCTGTGCTCTGCCGGAGCCGGCAGGGGTGAGCCCCGTGCCCCGGGCAGCCCTGCAGACACAGCCCTGCGTGCTCCGCTGCCCGGAGAGAGGACGACCCGGGGGCTGGGCCCGGGAGCCAGGGAGGCGGGGGGTGGCCCAGTGCCCACATATGGCTTTTACTGGTGGCCATGGCCACCGCGAGACGGCAGCCCTGGGGCTTTGCTCCGGAGACCCTGGGTTTCCTTCCCTGGGTGCACTGGATTCCCGCCCCCATCCCTGAGCACGAGAACCCTGGGGCCTGGGGCAGAGAGCAGGAGGGAGGGAGACTGCGCTGTGGGTTGGGTGGCCATGACCCCAAGGGCCTCCGCCCTCGGCACGCTGCAGCCCTGTTGGAGGAGCGACCTGCAGGATCGGCGCTGTGGGGCCTGCAGGGGGCGCTGTGCCCCTGGGTGGGAGGCTTGCCCAGCCTCCCCCTTCCCGTCCAAAGCCAGGGCCTCCCTCCCGGTGTGCTCCCTGCTGGGCCTGGTGGGTGGGGTCCAAGGAGGCGGAGGCAGGCTGCTCCCTGACCCAGGGAGGCGTGCCACCTGACCAGGTTAATGATTCTCCCCCGCAGGTCTCTGGGCCACCTGAGGCCAGGAGTGCACGGGGCTCAGAGAGGGCCCTGGCCTGCAGGGTCAGAGGCCCTTGTCCAGCGTTCCCAGTGGGGTCCTCTGCTTCGTCCTGGGCTCCCTGGGG